GACGAACTCTGGCCATTCACAACAGCCTGTAGCTTCCTGAGGGACAACAAATCTGTCAGCCAGGTCAGGGCTCTGCCACGGATGCCGAGTGTCTGCAGCTTGTAGGTTAATCCGATGTGTGAAACCTTGTCGAAGGCGCCTGCGATATCTACCGCAAGAACCATCGAGCATCCTCCACTTCCAGTGGTGAGAGTCCACTCATGATTCAAGGCAGTGAGGAGGTCGGCTGTTCCTAGGCCTCGTCTGAAGCCAAATTGGCGTGCAGAGAGGAGGTGGGGGCGCTCAAGATGGACAAGAGGGATACCGGGCGATAGTTTGCTGGCAAGGAGCGAGAGGCCTTCTTGTACATTGGTACCACATAATCATTCGCTGTTTTCCAGGCCGCTGGCTGGACACCGGACCGAAAACAGCGAGAAGAGAGTTGACAGGGGACGTGCTAATTCATGGCAGCATTTCTTATGGACACCAGCTGGAATTTGGTCGGGGCCCGTAGCCTTCCCTGGGTCGAGTCTGGACAAGTGTTTACGGACAATGGGAACCCTGAAGTGCACGTCCATGAGCTGATACGGTGTAGGTGGAATATGGTCCTTGTGAACCACTGAAGTGGGGAACTCCTCTATGTAATCCTTCATCGTATCCTAATTTTTTTTGGTTTTTAGTTTGGTGGAGTTGGGTAACTCCGCTCTTCTTCCTCGCTCACCGGAGGAATTTCTCTAGTCCCCTCGCGCAACTGGGGAGCACTGCAATGGAGAGAGAAAGATTTTCATAGAGCGGGAATGCTGTGAGAGGTGGACTGAGAATTGACGGCACTAACGGCGAATATCGAGACCTTACGGCCACGGAGCTGCGTGACTCTGCGCTGGTCGTCTATCCGTGTGGAGGCAAAGCAAACGCGGGCAACATTCTGCTGAAGCGAGCGCGGAGCTGAAGCTGGATTGGTGACTGACGTACCTGCTTACTCCACAACACCGGCGCATAATGATGTACATGTACAAGACTTCGTGCGTATTCAACTCAAATTCGTGTTCCGTCAGTGTCAGCAAGTACATGTAGTACAATGTGTTCCCAAAATAACTACTTCGGGACAGTCTGTTCATGGTTTTCATTTGTATTGGACTCGTTCTCTACACTTGCGATAATTTAGCGGCAATTCTAATGTTGTAGCGTTGTTCCCTTGTAACTTAGTGGAACCTGTATTGAGCAACTGAGTTTTATGTTTCGTTACATTGTCGACGGATCTCCTGTGTACCGGTTTTGTGGCACAATGATTATAGCCATTTGTCGTCTCCATTCTTGTGCAATAATGCATTATGTAGGTTGGTTATCTTCATGTTATTGTGACCTACTTCATAGATGTTGGTTGCCTTGTTGCTTTCTCTCCCCTCTCCTCTCACCCAAGCCATTCTGCATAAGCGAAGCTGTGGACCCAGCATACTGCTGCTACACTTCAACGCGGGAATGCGTATAATAAGAACAAGAATAAGAATACCCATTCTATTACACACTCCTTTCTACCTGACTTTGGCTAATTTTCGAAGCTAGTTCGTGAAGTGATCGTCTTGTGCAGTTGGCAACTTTCAGATGTGACGAGAGGCGTCCAATATGATTTTGTTGGCTGTCACTTGGCTTCTACTTTATTAATAAGTCTTTGCACTCATCTCTGTCACCACTCCAGTCTTCTTTGTGATGTGTAGTTTCAGCCGCAAACTATTTTATGTACCTCTCGCTCTCCTTGTGATTGACTTGGCACTTGTGATAGTTGTGTCTGGTAGGGTACATGTCTATAACACATCCATTCTGCACTGATAGTGACTACCGGTATTCTTTTCGTGTTTGTTTTTCACATGTGCGAGTTATGCCGGTATCAAAACACGGGATTACATGTATTTAGTTCAACCTCTTCCACTCAATCCCTTCTTCTCCTCTTTTTTCCCTTTTTTTTGATTTATTTATTTTTTACTATTGAACACTCACTGCATGATGAACTAAAATGAGGAGAACTCGACACAATGGTCCGTATCCAGCAGGACGGAGTGGGTGGGACATGTGAAGCTCAGCCGACCAAGGGTCTCGGCATCACAGCTGCACATGTTCACCAAAGGAAACAAAACGGGGAGTGGAAGGGCGGGGAGCAGGAGAGCAAGAACTCTAAGGGTAGGAAAGAGAGGAGGGAGGGGAGGAAACCAGGAAACTTGTTAGTTTGCGAGTTATCCCAAGATATGAGGGCAAACAAGTGCGCAAACAAGTACAAAGATAGCAGTATCAATATCATGATGCTGAGGCGAAAGTAGAGGCTGATTGCCGTGCAGTTTTGACGAAAGATAGAATGAGAATGGAGGACAGTTAGAGAGAGATAAGGACATAGTATATTATGGATTGGGAGTTTGATGAGAAGGGAGTGCTCCGAGAACATGAACAGGTCGTACTTGCAGTAGCCTAGGGGGCGATGTCCGTAGCCAATGACCACCCCGACCGTTTCAGGTAGCGGTAGGTCAGAACCTTGAACTGCTGCATCCCTTTGGCAGACGGTGCATCGCGGAGGAGAGTGGCTGGCAGTTCATTCCAGGCTTCGATGAGGCACTCCGGGAAAGAGCGCAGCGCAACATTGCACGATCTGGCAGGTAGGGCTGTCCGGAGTTGAAGCTCGTGCGCAAGGTTGGCTGCCGAGCGGCGACGTGTGGCAGGCGCGATGGCGGGTGCGATGGCTCTGGCTGGGCGTGTCGCTGCAAGAGCTGGTACATGGTGGGCTTGTGATGTAATGGAGCTTGTACAGAGTTGTGAGGCCGGCCACACGGCGCCGCAGGGACAGAGTGTCCATTGCAGCCCCTGTCCCAATCAGGGTTAGGACACGATGCTGGACTCGGTCCAGCAGTGAGAGATGGGTAGCCGCAGCTCCCATCCATACAAGTGGGCAGTACTCCATTAGAGGCCGAATGAACCCCCGGTATGCTGTGGCCCGGCCCGGTGGGTCCAGGACATGGCACGCCTCCCGGAAGAAACCAATTCGCTGTGTGGCACGCACTGCAGTTCATCGAAGATGCTCTGAGTATGATAGATGGGCATCAAACGTCACTCCAAGGAGCTTCAGCCGCGAGCATTCCGGGGCCGCTGTGCCGTTCAACTGGATGGGTGGTGTCTCCCAGGGTCTGCGGTGGCGGGATACAGTCATGGCCTGTGATTTCGTTTGCTCGAAAGTGACGCGCCACTGAGCACCCCATTCAGCAAGTGCATCCACACCAGCTTGGAGGTTGCGGCACATTTCTGTCACAGCATGTGGCGTTGGGATGTGGGCATAAAGCGTGGTGTCATCTGCGTAAACAGCCGGAGTGATCCCTTCCGGTAGGACGTCGCAGGCGTCATTCACATACAGCAAAAACAGTGTGGGCCCAAGGATGCTCCCTTGTGGGACCCCAGCATCAATCTTGTATGATTCTGAAGACTCCTCTGATTATGATGAGTTCCTATCATCATAATAATTATCATAGAACGATACCAGAGGAGTAGCTGCTAGCTGTCGTAGAGTGTGGCTTGTGAGCTTTTTGTGCTGGTGCGGCAAGCGTCGTGAGGTCTCGTCTTGTCATAAGAAGTTATTTCCAAACTGGTCCAAGACCTCACAACCGGGTTGCTGACCCGGCTGACCCGGCTCTGGAGCAGACATTGACTGGCTGTACAGCAGGGAGTCGTTAAAATAGGTATTTGACGGCACTCTGCTGTAGACTGCTTCACTTACCTCGGCAGCGTCTTTAGTGCAGACGGCACTCTTGGCAAGGACCGAGCTCACCTAGCTCCCGGCTTGCCCAGACCTCCTGTGCTTGTCATGTATTTCGCTCCAGAAGTCCATTCTCCAGGGTCACCAGCTCTATATGAAGTCCAAGCGCGGCCAAGCCTTTAAAGCCATGGTCGAAATTGGCGGGTTTTGTAGGAGGTGGAACCCCTGAAAGCGCCTGCAGGTTTCGCCGAGACTCTCTAGTACTAGTACTAGTAGTAGTATTACCACTCTCCCTACGTTATTCTAAGGAGAAGAGACCTGACCAGGCTGGTGATGGCCCGGCAGATGCCTCCCCTGAATGTATTCTCATCGCTCATGCATTATTTCCATTCTAGGAGTGTCAAGGAGCGAGCAGCACTGCCCTCGGCTCACTACTGCTGACCTAGCCCGGAGAGCCGGTATTCCGGAAGACATTTGCACTCCTCTGTGTGAATATCGTATACATAGTCATTGGCTGTGTCATGTCGCTCGAATGGACGCGGTCCGGATTCCGCAAAAAATATGTTGTTTGTGTAGCTTGAGGCAAAGAGACCACAGCATGATCCAAAGAAGCGTTGACGAGACACGATTGTCGGTGATTTGCGCTCGCTGGATATTTCTGAGTCCCAGTGGTGCAAGCTCGCACAGGATTGCTCGGAATGGCTTATGTGGATTCGTCAGCATTGGCTGCCTCTTCCGCCACCCAGGGACTTCCACTGCATGCATGTGCGGCGGAGTATTCAGGAGGAACTTGTGACGATTTGAAGTATCACCTGAACTGAGGCTGAAGTACTGCCCAGCTCAGTAGACAATCACCTCCTCTGGAGGTCGGACGTCAAAGGACAAAGGTCAAACGTGTGTGTGTGTATGTGTGCGCGCGTTTGTGATGGTGTATGCGTGTGTGTGTGTGTCCATCAGAAAGAGGTTCTTATGCTAAGCTATGCCACTAGACTCTTGGTGCGAGTCAAAAGCAGCGCCGCTTTTCCATTTCAATTATACCATACACGTTCCAATAACCGATCTGATGGGCACAGAGGTCACATGACCCTTGGCAATGCTTCCTTTGCCCACAACTTATTTATTTTATTTTTCCTTAAAACACACACCCTACTCGTAAGAAGAGGGGAGAGAAGTAGCAGGACAATACAACAATGGGAAGAGTAGGGGCTCCAAGAAGGAACCTGTGCTGGTGAGGCAAGCCAGCAACGCTGACCTGTGGTCTCGGCGTTACCGCGACTGCACAATAGCCACCCACAGTTCAATAATAGTGTTCATTGTACGTAGAAACACCTACAATCATAACGAGAGGGGTCCTCTCTGCTCCAGAGGGAGTGCTCAACACTCATGAAAGTGGACAGTAAGATATTATGTTGCACATGAGTGCAATGCTTGTGCTGTATTGCAAGCATTGTGTGCATTCGCTTGGCTTTCGCAATCATCACACAGCTTGATGCTGATATACATGTACGCGTTATGATTACGTGCATCTTGGTTGTAATTATAAATCAAGGCAAACATTGTCAAGAGTAGGGAAGGAACTAGCGTTGCCGAATTCTCACGCATGCAGGCACAACCCTCTTAGCCATGCTACTGATGCTTAAAGGGTACTACTACGGGCCGTGCGATAAGGCATCTCGTTTCAAAATATCAGCAGTGCCGCAACTGGTGTTGCGTATGTACACGTGCAGAGCCATGGGAGGAGAATCCTGTCTTCAATAGAGTGCACTTGCACGTGGATATACGGTCTGGGTGCTTAGGCTCCAAGGTAGCTAGCAGTATGCTCAACATGCGACTAAAGAAATTCGCTCTTTCAATGCATGACCAGTCTGTTATCATACGTATATAGTCCAGTCCGCTTCACTTTCGAGCTGTCAACTGCAGCGGGTCATTGCAATGGTGAGTTTCCCATGCGACCAGGCAATATTCACACACCACCTTGCAGCAGAACACAAACTTGCACTTGCACTGCTGCCTGAGCACTGAGCGCTGTGGGTGGTGTCCGTTGCCACAGCAGAGAAGCTCGCAACCATCGTCGCCACGAGACTCCAGATTGCATTCACGCTCTCCTGTGCCTTTGATACCGATGGTGGCGTTCGGTCTGCAGTAGTCGGGGGAAGTGTGCAGATAGGTGAGCTCCGCGGGCTCGGCTTCTCGTGCCAGATGATCGAGTGGAACGAGGCGAGGAGGCTCTCTCGACCCCTCCTCATGCGGCGGAGAGTCAACATCCGGTGCCTCTGAGATGCCCATCTGTGTATGACCCGACCACATGTGCCCACACATGCGCATATGCATATACACACATATGTACGCACATAGACACATTCATACAGACACATATGTGTACGCATGCTCATAACAAAATGCATGCATGCATACATTAACCCTTTACGGTCCAGTCCGACCATATACCTATCAAACACGGGTGTTCAATTGATTCAACGTTTTCAAACTATCGTAACTTGGCCCGATTTTCATTCTTGCTCTTTGGAGAAAACGAAATACGTAGGTCGAAGGGAAAACTCTCAGCTGTTCCCTCGAACATTCGCCAAAGCCCATTAGGCTTACATGTACGTGCGGCATGTCGTCGTTGACTCTATTACAAGTACATGTACATGTACATGCATGGAGGAAGTCATTCAGGAACAATCCAATACCCCTATGTGTCCCTGCTGGACAAGGATGCTTCCAAGCGGTCTACCGGCCTGAGGGCACATGCTCAACATCTGGATCGCCAACGATCACGTCTAGAGAGAAGAGTATAGTGACGGTGTGCGTTTGACCAAGTCTTGTAATTTTCTGTGTAGTACGCCATCATGTACGGAGCATGTGGTAGCTGCAACGTTTATTGATATAATCACATCACCACCCGAGGAGCTCTGGGTTCCAGATCAGGCAAGAATGAGCTACGTACCTGCAGCGCATTGCGGTATTTGTCCTTCAGGATGAGACCCACAACCTGCACTTTGGGCAGAGATCGCCAGCAGATCTTGACACTGCATGCACCAGTCAGTCCGTGGCACTTGCAAATAGTCTGCAGGGTACTCTCTACAACCTGTCAGCATACACACACACACACACACACACTCACACACACACATACACACACATACACACACACATACACACACACACACACATACACACACACACACACACACACACACACACACACACACACACACATAAACACACACACACACACACACACACACACACACACACACACACACATACGTATTGTACACAATCACAATAGGATGACAGGTCTTGAATGAAATTATCATGGAAGGAGTTATTATTGGGTGAAGACTGTCAAGTTTCATTCTTTCTGTATTTTAATTTTCTTGCTTCAGTTTTCGTTAGCTGTTGTGCCAGTGGTGTCATGATTTGTGATTGACCACACACTGAGAGGTTTCCCACACAATCACAATAGAATGCTAAGAGTGCTCGAATGCTGTGAAGGCAGAGCGCAGTACACTAGTGGAACAATTTGAGGCTAGCTTTTTGCCTGATGGTTGCACTGAGAACCAAACTAAGAGTTGCACCAAACTGGCCTTGCTGCACTGCTGTACTGCGTAGCGCACACAATGCTGATGTAGACATGCACATGAGAGAGTTACGTCGGAAATGCATTTACTCATCTTCGTGTGGCCTCAACCCTTATCACCTAGCAACTGCATTCAAACCAAAGTCCAAGTGCATGTTTCGAGATAGTTTTTTTTACGACTTTCAAGTTTACGCAAACCGCACAAACTTCATTCGCCTAGTCAAGCTCAATTCATGACGGGTGAATTTCCTCGAACACTGTGCACTGTGCAATAGGCATGAAGAAGCGGTTTTTGCAGGTTTGCTGAGTGGAACATTCAATGGATTATTCGTGTGTTTCTCTGCTGCTGCTGCTGCTGCTGAGTCTAGTGTCCAGTCAAGTTGGCTAGAAAGGCATGAAGTCTAGCTTAGAGAGCAACACACACTTCCTCAATTTTTTTCCACACAAAATGTATTGGTTCATGTGGATCGAGGTGCCAGTGTTTGTCGTGACTCCAGCCTGCTGAGCTGTACATGTAAGACTTGCTAGCCCAATTACATTACGTTGCCGTTGCTGCTTACCACTCTGCCTGCCTCGTTGTTATGCAGTTCCATTACGTCCAGGGCTGTTTGGTTCCCCTGCTCCTCTTCAATGTGAGCAACGTCCAGGAACTCCTTGCTGTATTGGTAGCCCTGGGAGTGCAGAGAATGATACAGTCAGACCTCGCTTATCCGGTCCTCTTTTATCCGGACCCCTCGCCATCCGGAAGAAAATAGCTGGCTACATATTTACAGCATGCGTGATGCATCCAACATAAGTGGTGTTCGGTTATCCGGTTCCCTCGCCTATCCGAATATTTTTGTGGAAAATGGATGTGTGCTGTTGAGCGAGGTCTGCCTGTAGTAGGCATGTGTGTGATATGGGTGGAGAAGAAGGAGGCAAGGAGGAGGAATAGGCGAGGAGGAGGAAGAAGAGGAGGAGGGGCTGGAGAAGGAGGAGGAGGGGCGAGGAGGAGGAGGGCGTACATAGAGGCATAGAGACCAGCGGTATATGCCAAAAACTCAGAATGAGGGTTCTCAAAGTGTTTAATGTGAGCGTGTAGAACATGTTATGCCCCATTGCCACTGGTTTGAGCTGTGTAAATTCATTCCCACTGGTTTGAGCTGTGTAAATTCATTCCCACTGGTTTGAGCTGTGTAAATTCATTCCAACTTGAGCACTGAGCAAATACTGAAACTACCCTCTCCCTTCCCCCAGACATGATTCTCTTTAAAAAGATAAAAGCTGACCGTGTGATCGAAATTTAAAACATCTACGCAGAGAGTTCAGAATTCGCTGGCACCCACTGTCACAAGAGGACCAGTAAGTACAGATCAGAGAGCTCGTGCCGACACTGGGCAAAGCAGCCTTGCGTACCTTTGCAAAGTTGTCGCCACAGCCGCCCCAATCAAACTTGCCCTTGATGTTGTGCTCAATGTTCTCGTCGTGAACGGACGTGTCGCAGGAGCAGAACCGCGTCACATTGCCAGCGCTGCACGTTCTCGCTATTGCCAGTGTGATGCCGGCCGCTTGAATGCTAGAGACAAACGATGCTTCACGGCTTCCTGTGTCACGTGGGAAGACAAAGCCAAACAAGACAGTGGAGATCAGGCGTTGTGCCTTTGTTGAACTCATTAGTGTCCCCGGCACAGTGATACGATATCCTGACACCAAATGCCACAGGTCATTCCCCTGTGGTAATATGCTAATGTCAATCAACAAAAGCAAGCAATGTCCCTCTCGTAGCCTCATTTTTGCATCCCAATCGGGGCACCACCCCGACATGCGAAAAGACGTACTCCCATGGGAGCAGGAAAGACGGCTAGTGCACTTCGTGCACTTAGTGTCCAATGTACTGTGTTTCTTATGTGAGTATACTTCAATAAGTCGTGATACAACCTTGCCCCTAACATTGCCTGGATTTGTACTGAGTCGGTGTACTTCCTATCTGGGTACATACTAAGCAAGTTCCACTGTACGTTCAGATCAGTATTATAGGCTGAACCAAAAGGAATTCCAAAGCCAGCCATCATTCACAGGGATAAGAGTTGTTCGTGCGAGTACGGGCCCATCTTGAGCCTATGGTTAAAATCCCCATTGTTATGGTTATCTTGCCATCCATAATTTTCACTGATCCTTAAATGCAAAGAATGGCCCTTCCTCCTCTACAGAACTGTCGGTCGCCGAAGAATTGGGGGGGGGGGCAGAATCCTGGCCTAGATAGTTCCTATCTTCATTTATTACAGTCCATGCATAGTCCAGTCACGGTGTATACATTGGTATGCTGTGCTTGATGAAATTCTAGCCTGGTCGTTCTTCGGCGCTCCGTTCTTCAGCGCCCGACAGCACTGTACCTTCGGAAATAACCATTCTTTTGCAAACCAAATACATTTCGTGGACTGACTAAGCTTTCTGAGCAAAGATCCCTGTTGTGTATTTATAGGCTTTCAGGAATCCAGTTACGTTAATCATTGGCCAGTCCTCAGTAACAAAGTGGTAATCAATCTCTAGCTGATTGACTTCGTGCTAAACTTGAAAAAGCTGAAAACACAAGGACTTGCTAGATTTGTCACGGTCTGAGTCGGTCAGAACAATCAGTTTCACGGCTAGCGTGTCCTCAAGTCATGCGTGTACCTTTCTGCATTTTTTCCTGGGTCACCACTTCCCTCGGGGGAAAACAGTGTCAGACCAGCCTCCCTGAGATGTGAGGTGTGTAGATTAGATCCATGGCAAGATAGTCTGTGGCGAATTCAATTTTCAAGTACTCGGTTTCATTTCAGGTGCTCATAGAAACGACTTTTGTCCAAAAACAGGCACAGAAATGCCAAGCAAGGGCATAGTATATGCAGTGAAATCCTACTCCCCAGCAGACATTCCTCGTTGAAAAGCCATGCCCGGAGGGAGGACCGCTGAGATTGCTCTGTGCAGTATCTTAGTTCTTAGTAAGTGGGACGCCCGTCTCTCGGAAGACAATGTCAAACTAGTTCCATTGGCTATGGTGTCAGGATATCAATCATCCAAGGCTATCACCGCCGCGTGTAATGACTGTTTTCATATTGTCTTTCTGCCAACTGTCCCGTGTCAATTACCGTTTGGCTTGAGTGAAACTGCACTCAACAACCACCCTCCGACTCTGAAGACGGTGGACGGTGGTCTTTCAACAAAGGCCAGGTAGTATATTTATGCATCGTCCCAGGACTTATGTGACTGGCATCGACAGACATGCAGGCGCCCTCTGATTAAAATGGCCGCTAGATAAGGTTTTGCTGTCTGCATGGATGCTCAATACCAGCAAGCTCTTGCCTTGTGTAAGCTAGGCCTCTAAGTGGCCTGCCGCTTACCCATAGAGCAATTTCTGACGCACAATTAAGCACCCAGCCACCACGTCTAGTCACTTGTCCATTGTTGTGTATAAGCCAAGACACAAAATTAATGCTAGGTTACGGGCAGTGCATCCGTTACTATAGTATACTGTGCATGTGTGTTCTTTCTCACCGTGACCTCACATCAGCCATGCCTATAGTGCAAGGTTGACTGCAAACAGCCATTTTGCAAAACATTTACTTAATGCAAAATTATCAGCCAACGAGAAGCGTACACTACTTTTATGGATAGCTACACACATCGGCACCACCAACTGGCTTTCTCCTGCAGCCATTGCAATGTGAATACCCACATGTATGTATTTTCATTTGAACATTAGCAGCCATATCCTATTTTACTGGATCACCTCCACATGCAGACATGGACGGACAGTGTTAATTTCTTCACCTTTTAAAGATAGTCCTGCGCCCATTTCTCGTGCATGTGCACAGCGCTGATGACTCCAAAAATATGTGAGCTGCCTTAAAAAGAAAGAGATATTGATTATGATGAATGTTAACATTAGATAGATGAAGTTCATGCATTGACCGTGTCAGCGATTGCTTCCCAATATCGACTTGATCTGGTAACCTCTTACCTGTAGACATGATAAAGTGGTAATTTGTTGTTGAGTCGTTGATAGGGCAGTTCCACCGTTCAAACATGAACTGCCGTCGACATTCGCGCAGTCCAAGACGCGCACCTGTAGAGCAGCATGATCAGAACACAACAATTAGCTAACGCTAGTCTAGTAACAAATTCAACAAACACCTTCTGCTGTGATGGTGGTGGTGGTGGTGGTGGTGGTGGTGGTGGTGGTGGTGGTGGTAGTGGTGGTGGTGGTGGTGGTGGTGGTGGTGGTGGTGGTGGTGGTGGTGGTGGTGGTGGTGGTGGTGGTGGTGGTGGTGGTGGTGGTGGTGGTGGTGGTGGTGGTGGTGGTGGTGATGGTGGTGGTGGTGAGGGTGGTGGTGGTGGTGGTGGTGGTGGTGGTGGTAGTGGTGGTGGTGGTGGTGGTGGTGATGATGTGGGTGGTGGTGGTGGTGGTGGTGGTGGTGGTGGTGATGGTGGTGATGGTGGTGGTGGTGGTGGCGGCGGCGGTAGCGGTGGCCGGTGCAGTAGTGGTGGTAATGATATGAAATCAGTAGTACGGAAGTTCACGCATGGTGGAGGTGATTGCCTTTAGAAACCTTTGAACTGCATGCCTGACACACTCCGAACTTATGTGCACTGATGAGCACAGTGTACGGCCTCAGTTTTGTTTCACACCACCCACCTCTGGTGCCAGTATCAAGTATGGCTAGGTTGTTCATACCCTGGAGATGCATGCATGACATAATGCATGACATAATGCATGACATAATGCATGACATAATGCATGGCGTATTGCATGATGTTATGCATAAACTGGGCTCAAGTAGTTGTCATGTCTTCATGAGCTTCAGGGAATAACCAGGGAAAGTCTAAAGAAAGAACACATACGGATTTGAACCGGGGACCTTCACTATAGGCCAGTGGTACTCTAGCCACTACGGTTAAGGTGTACTCATCATAGCATGCCAATACAGTGAATACACATTGTGTTAGTGGGAGTTAAAATGTTAGTTCTGTACTGGCAATGCCGATGATGCTTGGCATACCTTGAGCAATGGGTCCAACAAACGGTAGATGTGTCCGACACCATGATCTCTGCCTATCCGTTAGCCCTGGCGGAGTGAAGCAAAAGAGATTGAAATACACAAGGCATTTTTTAAAGGTATTACTATTACAAGAGTGATACCTTCCAAGGCTGCATGCCATTCGCATCTTATACGGCTTTCTGACGGTGGCTGGCGGAAATGGTGTTTGCAGGGTCTTGTAGGTAAACTTCAAAGTGCATGTAGCTACAAGCACACCCTTGGCTGATGAATTCTCAAGGAAACACGTATTATGAAATTGCGATGCAAGTAGGAACGAAGTCATAGATACTTGAGAAGCTGTGGATTTGGAAGTTTGCTTTCTAACTTCTGGATTTGGATAATGGCGACCTTCCACATTTCCACATTTCCAGTCCAAACCGTCAATGGAAATCATTTCCAGGCTAACAATCCACCTTGGCATATGTGTAGTTCAAAAGGTGTTGTTCTCGTGCCATATTCAAGGCTAGTCTCAAATTCAAACGTTGGCCGCTGACGTCGACAGAGGATGCTCAAGTGCACATTGCTCAGTTAAAACTGCTCAAAGAGAGGGTCCTTGCCATGAACTAGGCGAACGTGCAAGGCCTCAGAGGAGCAATATTATTCTATCAATACTGCTGTACTAGTAACTCCAGAGCTCTTTGACATTTTGAATTGACCGGCTGTGACCTATGTCCTGTTCTGTCCCTGAAAACAGTACCAAAAACTGTCTAGATGTTTCTCTTTTCTGGAGTCACGGCTGCACAGCTATCTCCAAAAATCAGTCTTAAACCTGCATTGTGGTTCACATCAAAACCAGCCTGTTTGGTTACCACAAATTCTAACTTGAATGTGATGTTTTCCAGTGTTTTCTCCTCCAAGAGGCGGGTGTGACATATGCCCTTGCGGCAAGTACCATGGAAATGTTCAATACCATACTGGATACAACAGTGGTGAACGTATCTGTACAGTATGTACGTGTGATGAAATGAAGTCACCATGCACTATGTAGGTGCAGTAGTGGTAGTGCATAGCGCTTACATGCTGGTGTGCTGCACACTAGCACAGTTACATTTACACTGAATATTGAACACTGGACACTGGACATGGCCACAGTCATGGGAATGTGCATACATGAACATAGTCATTGGGTGTGTGTGTGAGGTGTTGGAGGGGGGGGGGGGGGGGGCAGGGTTCTGCAGCCATAGCAGTGCCCATGGTTTCTCCTGTACCACTGGTAATGATGGCCAGGTGATTGACCACTTCACGCATGCCCCCAGGGCAGTGTCGCAGATTCTGAAACATGCTTTTCAAACTGCCCTCTACTCCAATGTATTGTTAGTCTAGCGTAGCCCAGTGAAGGCTTGTCTAAGTAAGTTAGTTGTGGTGGTCCCTCTATGCACTAGCACTGGTAACACAATCAAGTCATGTTACATAGCAGCACCAGCAACACGTGTGTGTACATAGGGACATGTGTTCAAGTGTGTGTGTGTGTGTGTGTGTGTGTGTGTGTGTGTGTGTGTGTGTGTGTGTGTGTGTGTGTGTGTGTGTGTGTATGTGTGTGTGTGTGTGTGTGTGTGTGTGTGCCTGCGTGCATGTGCGCAGGTGTGTGTGTGCTGTGTGCTGTGTGTGTGTGTGTGTGTGTGTGTGTGTGTGTGTGTGTGTGTGTGTGTGTGTGTGTGTGTGTGTGTGTGTATGTCTGTGTAGTACCTATGTCGGCATTGCAAAACAGTTGAAAACACTGGGACAAATGGAAAAGGAGTGGCACGCCAACATCAATGACCTGTGGAGTGAATTACCTCAACATTGTCAGAGGTACATATATGTACCGGTAATTACAATTGTTCTGCACCTGTCCTCAAAACTGTCATGACCACTCACTCCACCACAACAGCAGCACCAGCAAACTGGATTAGCTTGGCCATTGTCACTGTGGATGGCTATGGGCACCTTACATTAGTGTGTCCATGTGCTTACATGGCCGCTCACAGAATTATGTCACAGATTTTTACCGCCACTGGCCTAAAATATATTGGCCATATCTGTGAATCCTCAAATACTTCGCAAACGGCATTCTCGCCATCTCAAACATTTGTGAAAGTCTGAAGATTGCGTAGCTAGGGAACGTTGGGGATCATGATAATTTGTTTGACCACATTGTTAACTTAACAAGCACATCCAGCAATGGAATTGCTTGGAGGCATGCAGCTCAAGAGTAGGAATACTTCAGCAGCATTGCCTGGACATGTCTTCTGGTCACACTTGCATCACAGGATATCCTCCAAGGCCTCGGGCAGCGGTGCTCTCCTCAGCCAGGGGCCAATGCAGTAATGACTGTGTATGTGTGTGTGTGTGTGTGTGTGTGTGTATGTGTGTGTGTGTGTGTGTGTGTGTGTGTGTGTGTGTGTGTGTGTGTATGTGTGTGTGTGTGTGTGTGTGTGTGTATGTGTGTGTGTGTGTGTGTGTGTGTGTGTGTGTGTGTGTGTGTGTGTGTGTGTGTGTGTGTGTGTGTGTGTGTGTGTGTGTGTGTGTGTGTGTATGTGTGTGTGTGTGTGTGTGTATGTGTGTGTGTGTGTGTGTATGTGTGTGTGTGTGTGTGTGTGTGTGTGTGTGTGTGTGTGTGTGTGTGTGTGTGTGTGTGTGTGTGTATGTGTGTGTGTGTGTGTGTATGTGTGTGTGTGTGTGTGTGTATGTGTGTGTGTGTGTGTGTGTGTGTGTGTGTGTGTGTGTGTGTGTGTGTGTGTGTGTGTATGTGCATACATACTTGTGTATGTGTAACTGTGTACATGCATACTTGTGTATGTGTATGTGTGTGCATGTGGGTACACACATGCGTGTGTGTTCGCCGGCGTATGTGTTTGCGGCCATTACCCATGCACGCATGCACACATACGCACATGCTTGGGAGGACTTCAGGCAACAGGATAGGACATTATCATGCTCAGGCAGAAAGAGAGAGGAGAAGGAAGAGGAGGGAGAAGAAGCAGAGTGATGAATTGAGCTAGGCACACTAGACTTACCTGGCATATTGCGACATAACCTTCTCTGCACAGTCTCATCCAGAAAACGTTGTCTAGTTACTGCCTCTATAGCACTAGGTAGGAAATGGCTGCACACAAGATCACACAAGCACAGAGAGCACAACAGTGCTCACCGCGTTCATGAATGGCTGCACAGGACCCAAGCACAGATTCTTCGTCATTTTGTGAGGGCTTGGACAATTCACTTGTGCAGACAAGAAGGGAGCAGTACATGTTCGTTCTGGTGAAGTAAATAAAAATATACTAACCAACCAACCACAGATAGCATAACGATGCTCAGGGTGTTTCTAAATACATATAGGGACCAACTAATCCAGTTTGGTTAGTCGGATAATCAAATATGGATGCCGGGGGTCTACATTCCCTGCAACATCTCCCTTCTCTTTCTGGCCAGCCTTCCTCTCGGTTTGCTGTATTTCTTGCTCCTTGCTCCTCCTCCTCTATCGAAGGCTCTCACTATCTCTGCCTGTGTGCGTGCGTGTGTGTGTGTGTGTGTGTGTGTGTGTGTGTGTGTGTGTGTGTGTGTGTGTGTGTGTGTGTGTCTCTCTCTCTCAATCTCTGTGCATGCCATGGCCTTGGCTTCTACGAACCCTTCTTGTAGGGAATACGGATGCTCTCGGGCCACTGCTGGATCGGCTGGGAGTTGATATTGTGCGGAGAGCTTCATGGCTTGTCGGGTTCTTTACGGCAGGACTCCACCTCAACAAACACGTTCATCCTTCTACTCATAGATATAATGGCCTTATCGCCCATCAAGCAATCATTCAACGCTGTGACAAAATTGCCCAATAGGCCAGAGCAACACAAAAGGACTAATATAATACCTCTAAGCACATAATTGCTCAAACACCTCATTCCTTGGCGAAATGTCCTACTGGTTAGTTTGTTCTGTGAGCCTTACGAATAGAAATCTGCCCCTTGCAATACTGGATATACTGCTAATGTTGTTGACTGGTCAGTAGGGAATATCAGTCACATTTGACAATACTGAGACTGTCTTTGCATCCATCAACAGGAATCGTGACAATACGAGTCTACCCGGGCCTGTTCTTTTGCATAATACCACACGATGCCTCAGGGTTTGGCTCGCAAAACTTTTCAGAGTCTCCATTTTTGGATACACTGACAGTGTTCTGCGATCACGGCACAAACGTGTTGCCTCTGGGAAATACTATTTATATGCCGAGCCAAGATGCAAATAGATACACTTGCATTCAAAGTCATTCCCTTGCCTTTTTACGATGCTGAAAAGCATGTGCAGCAAGATACACCAGAATTGGGTAAAAATCAAGTCCCCAAAGCCACAGATATGTAATTGTCGAGAATTGCTTGCAACAGCTGCCTCCAGATGGCATGCCGATGATGCTTTATACCCTGCTGTCCTGCTTCTCCATTGTTATCCACTCACAAGAATTAATCGGACGGGTACTGAGGCAAAGGGATTGTTCACCACCGCCGTATGTTCAATGGGTGTGGTGACATGGGACAGCATGATCACCTGCATAGCTCGTGTATACACCCAAGGCAACCAGTAACTGAGGTACATTGGCACATCATTGTTTGATACTGAAAGGAGCACTACCTGCAATTGAGCAAAGCTCATCCCCACCACCTACTTGTATGTTAATATGATCTTAATGTCTGATGTGCAGTAAACTGAACGATTTGTATTCTGTCCAAGTGAAACTTGTAGCCAATACGTTAGTAAGTTATTGTCAGTTCTCCACCTTGTCGGGGAGGAGCTTCAAGGATACACAAAGGTGGCGGTTGTTTCTGTTTGTCTTCCCACTAGGCCTTGCTCAAATCACACGCTGAGAGAGTACTAGTTATCATGTTTGGTGCGTGATCGAGTAGTGCAGTGCGCCAGGTCTACTCTAGCTCGACACATACCGTGTCTTCTGGGCGTCCAGCCACTACTCAGCTTGTACCATATTGACATCAAAATCACTCTAGCAATTATAATAATTAGTGTGTGCTACTGAACATTAATTCGTCCACCTACTCCACAACACATCTAGCCGGACAGACAGTGTAGGCAATGACAGGGCCAGGGGGATCAACACACGTGTGGACGCGCGGGATAGAAAGCAGATAACGGCAAGGACTCACCCGAAACACGTGCCAATCAGATGGACGGACAGCAGAACCGCACACGTCCACAGGGCTTTCCCGTCAGCCATTTTCTCGACCAAACCGTGTACTACTAAACCGTGTACTACTGCCTACTGGCTTCAGGATATTAATTTTCCTCTCCTCTTCACAGCTTTTAAGGTCTAAACAGGTGAGTTCACTACTGCCGACTAACGCCTTGGACTTGGAGTAGGACAAGCGTGTATTCGCCAACAGTCGGGAGGGATGATTAGCTTATTCTTCTTTCTCGCACTGGACAAGACCAGAATGAGAGTGTGACTGGGGGTCAGTTGGTTAGCGCGGGCCCGAGGTGCAAACTTCAGCGCTAGCCCAGAGTCAGACTTCAGCACTCAGCCGGAGACGTGAGTGCCCGCGGGCTATGCAATCAGATCGAATGTTGCTGGAGCTGTTGACGGACGTGACCGAGCTACATCGCAGCGGAACCCTGGTACTTCTTGATGGCTTCTGTCACCGGGTGGGTGAAGATCACGATGGTGGAAAGAACAATCGTAATCCCCTATGCTTATGGTTTGAACTCACTATATCCCTATGACTCGCACCTCGCGTCGTTTGTCCCAACCTTGTTCAGCCCGTTCCGTTCGTCGCAAATCCCACCTGTGGAGCAGCAGCAGTATGTTGGCAAACTTGTGCCCGCGCTGATGTTTTCCGCGCCGCGAGTGTGAAACCCTTCGTGTGAGGTACACGATCGGAAGCGACCTGAACGGCCAACGACGCGAACTACACCGCTACACAGTCAGTAGCCGTATTGCCAGGTAGAGCAAAAGGGGCAAGGAGGGTCAGGGTCAGGGTGGAACTCCAGCTCACAATCACATTCGTACTCCTGCCACGACCACGGCTAATAACCACACACGTGAGTAGGAAAAAATCAGTTTCCAATGGCAGCCATTGTAGTTATATCCATCTATCCTGGGGCTGATAAGTGATGGTTTGCACAGGTGCGGAGGACTCTCACGGGATCCGTACCGCACAGGCAGCTCCGAACCCTCTAGAGAAATGGCCGGAATTCTGCTAGACCTCAATCGCTGCCGTCCGTGAACAACACTGGGAGCGCGCGGCACACAGCACAGGTAACTGCAATTGTGACAATTCGTCGGTGAACACTGCCCTAGTGTCCTGAACCACTTCAGTGGCGTTACAGTCCAGATTCCGAACGCGTGACTTTTCGCTAATTGCTTCTTGGCATCCAACAGCGCGACGCTCTTTCAGTTGACGTGAAGCTCTTCAGCGTGGTCAGATACGCTACGAGACACAGCACCACTAAGCTCCTCTCCACAGGACTTCTTCACGAGAGTGAAGAGAAGAGAGATCCAGAAACTACATTCGTTCTTGAAGAGGGTGACGAGCTTTTTGTGTGGCCAGCGACGGTCAAGAGACGAGGTTGGGCCTTGTCTCACGGTTCGGAGGGCAGGTCAAGCCGCGGCTGGGCACAGCGCATACCGATCTGACCCTCGTCTGTTGATGAACCGAAACCAGTGCGTGTGTGGCTCCTTTCGCGAAGGTTTCGGCAGACTAGAGAATGACGAGACCCGATCAATCAGTGTGGGGCTCGTTAGGCACCAGAGTCAGCAGGCAGTTTTCTATTGAACAGGTCCTATTGTTGTCTCCGCGATACGCGACAACTCAATTAGAACCTTTGCTATTGTAGATCTACCCGGCGCTCCATAGGCATATACCGAGCTAGCTCGATCTCCGGGAGACGTGGCTAGTGTGGGTGTCCACGCAGAAGCGTTCAGCATGGTCATGCAAGGTACTACACGTAGTACCGATCAGGGTGGAAATATTTAATTGCAGGCTAATGGACGCATGGTTCACAGTTGCGGCTTGGACAGGAATACCATGCACCATTCGGCCAGGGTATGCCAGGGTCTATCTTCGTCTGTGTCAGTATAGGTACATCGTGAACTAGTTGTAGGCGGCCTGGCCTGCGCGTGGTGGGGACGACACGACAAACCTTTGCTGCTGCTTGTTGATGATGGTGAGCAGGCGCAATTGTGCTGTAACCGCACAGATACGCATGCTGGCATGATCCTAGCGTCAAATAGTTTCCCGACATACCTCTTGTACCCATCGTTCACACACACATGCCAGCATAGTTCTAAGGACGACGAGGAATTTGTTCACCTCCATGTTTCTACTGAATCCTAGCCAACCGTGTGGACACTACCATGAATATTGTCGGGTAAGAGTGCCAGGGTCGATGGCGCAGCCTTTGGTATACAGCTTCCAAAACACTGTGTGGGAAATTGGGCACCATGCCTCTGTGTGCGCGCGTGCCTTCTGCTTCTCTGTCTTGGTCATCAATCAATGAACGTCCTGCCACTTCCTTGACATTCTGATGGTATTAATTACTCGTGTACCCTCCGCCACTCTGAGGGTCTGCTGTGTGTCCCACCAATACCATGATGTCTTCGTTCTTGTTCAGGGTATTATCAGTATCTGTGCGGTCTCAATCAACCTTTCATTGTACGTGCAACTATAGATTGTAGATGTAGAGAGAGACCAAGTCAGGATTAGGAGACTCTGATCTACGATCCTAATAATCCTACACAGCATAGGGTGTAAAGGTTCGTTCATGGCTCCACGCTTGGACAAGATCGTCTCCAAGGCCCACGCACAGGAATCCAACTCTTGCCAGCAGCCTTCCATCTCAATCCTCTTGCCCCTGGGCCTAACATTAACAGTGGACCGTGATCATCAACATCACACTGATCACCACCACGTATTACCGACGAAGTGCTGTTTTGATGACCTCTCCGAGTGCAAGGCGAGCAACGGTCACATCAAATAGTACTATTAGTAGTTCACCTACGCTGTAAACAAGGCCGTTGCCTGAAGCGAAATTGATGCGATACACCGTTGCGTGCATTGGACTATGAAGGACAGAGGGCAAGCTTGAGAGCTGTATCGCTGCATACTACTGTAGCACTGCATACTGCTGTAGCACTGCATACTACTGTAGCACTGCTCATGGTGTTACGTGTTCATGTGGAAGGTCTAGAACCTGTGCTACTTATCACAAACTACTACTTGTAGTATCCCTATTATTTCCTAACGTAACACGAATGTACGAGTCAGTGCCATCCTAAAGCCACCATAGATGGAGAGGAGCTCTGTGTGAGGCGTTTCGAGTGTTACTTCCCATGCTAAGTGAAAATAATCATAAACCACAGCCCGACTGCCCTATGACTTATGAGCACGGTTGAGGAGCTGTGCTCCGTTGATTCTCTACAGCTTTAGGGTTGAGATCTGAGACATGACAGCCTCTTGGCTGAGTGGTACCAGAACGTGAATATTAACACTAAGTTCGCCGCTCACCTGAGCATCGATCTGTTCAGCTTAGGCCTTAGGAGTTGAGGAGGGGCACCACAACATACAAGCAACGGCATAATACTAGTGATACAAGCCATGGGTGACTTTTTATGGGTGCTAGTATCTTATTTCCTTGCAACGAGGTCGCCTATTCTGCACCCGGGCCAGTGCAGAAAAGAGTTCGTTCATCAACACGTGGAGATCAGCTACTGGATCTGTACAATAAAATTCCTCAGTACTTGAAGTGACTCAGTGCAAAAGGCAATAAGGAGATGATTTGATGATCGGATTTTGGCATTGATTCAAATAGTGGTAACGACGTTACGTGTTTACGAGTACAAGTGCCATTATCATGAGCTATGAAAGTATGATTGATACCCATGCAGTCATGATCAGAGGGGAAATTGTTGGATAATTTGCTAAGGAATTGTTATCGCATCAGTTCAGCATTGTTCTTCTGATCTGCCATTTCATTATCTGACAACACTGGCAGTGGTGAACATCCTTATCTTATTTTGGTATACATATCACAACCAGTGCACGACGTCCCAATAAGCTGATATTGACAAACCATGGACAGCGCTGTTCAAATCTCTTTTTCCATAAATACAGCACCCTCTGGAATTGTCTGCCCCCTAAGATCACCTCCTTAACCAGTTTAAGCGAATTTAAGCAAGAACTGCACAAACAGTTCTAGGAGCATTGGCTTCACTGCAGTGGAATTCCGTTGAATATGTAGCGTCACATCGTATTCTTTAGAAGCTTATCTCTGGCACACATTTTTCATCATTTACATGACATATCCCAGTTCTGCACGCTTACAATCATATGCTCAAGCGCAGAGCTCTGCCCTAGACTATGTCTTTTTCTCTTTCTTTTCTCACCTATTGCTCATCACTTCTTTTACAGATTTGGTATTATGGAAAGTTTGGAAACCTCCTCGATAGGCGAAAGCCTTGGGAGAATCCTTAAACGATAAAAAATACAATAGTCTGCGGTGGTCTAGAGCCTGGTAGAGACTGTGAACATCCAGTCGAGAACCGAAGCAACCTCTAGCGAAGTACTACTAACAACTGACTCAGTACTGTAGTATTACTCCGGTTCGGGCTCGTTACTGTCACGTGGGGCGCCAACTGGGGCACAGCTTTATCGGTAACGTTTTTAAATCTCACTCCATGGCCGATCGAGAGTACTGTACTGGTAGTGTTACTAATACTACAGCACAGGCCGTCTTATCAGCGAATGTCACACTCTACGTCCTGAGGACTGTTCCTGCCGTCTGTTCTGACACCAATCCAAGCCGATACGGCGATAGGACATACAGTCGGACGCCCCGCGCTCGTTTGCTCGCATCTTGGCACGGAACGAAGTGACGAGCGAGTGGTCGAGTGAGTTCCCCGATGTCGGCGATGAGTCTTGAGGACACATGTTTCTCTTTGATTGTGCCTTTCAATGTTTTCTTTGAGACAGACAACGATGTGCTTTAAGTCTGCTGCTCGACCAACTGGCGACTTGTCACGGTAAACACCCGATGAGTATACGTACCATATCTTATGGTGTAAGCTCCAGTAGTAATGCTGTGGTAGTGTGGGTTCATTACAATCATGGTAACACTTTGTCGGTGCTGGCCATGAGAGTTGACGTTGATTTGCCTAATTTCTGATCGGGAAGTCGCCACGGTGGTTGCTCAGCCAGGCGGCACTGTACTGTGTAGATGTAGTGTCCAATACGTTTCCTTTGCCGACACCTGGTCCCGACGCGTTACATGGGTCAGGGTGTATCGGGCACGTTCCCAGGTGATGAGACTGGTGGCCTACGAGTATTTTGTGTTGGCTTCTACATGCCCAGAGCAGATTGGAGAATACACATTCCTCTCTTGCCGGAACACGAACATAGTTTTCGTGTGGATGGTCATCATTGCAGGTACAACTCTAGTACAATCATGTGAACATCCACATGGAACGCACATGGATGTGTTGTTCGCCGCTCGAAGTTAGTGTCTTCCAAGTCACGTATACTGGTACCACAATTAGGAGGGGTTGTCTACGAGTTAAAATGGTAGAAGCCGTACATCTACATGTAAATGACATTGTACTAGTGTACGATGTTCACGTACATGTTCATCATGTTGATATTGTACAGGTACTGGTACTGGTAGCGTTTCCTACTGTATTAAAAATCAAACCACGTTCCGAGCGGGGAACGAGGCATGAAACTGCCGATGTTCACTCTGAATAGATCTAAACTTTTCAGGAGCCAGTTGAGGCCTGGTATGCTCTATTGAGTTCTACGAAACGAAACCGGCAACGAGACTCGAGAGAATGGGCGTCGTATGCTTGCACTTCTCATGCTGCAACCTCTTGCGGCAATCAATATTAATTTTGGCAAAGATCTGAAGGAGAAGTTCGTATGGAAACCCTGTGCCCCGGCTCCATATGCATATGCCTCTAGACTAGTCTTCTAATGTTGCCTCTGGGATTTATAAGTGCTGGCGAAGAATGCGAGAGTGTGACATGGCTAATCGGCGTGAGCGGCCAATCATCCACTCGAGACAGAGGTGTTAATTAAATTAGCGACCTGGATGGAGTCAACAATCGCATAAAACAAGCATTTTCAATTTTAACACCACCATGCATGCATGCAGCTGTAGCGTAAGATGATTACTAAGATCGTAATCATCGTGTAACGGAGACAGGTCGGAATGTGTTACATAAGGCCATGGTAAAAAATATCTTTGATTCTCAAGTACGCGCGCATCGATTTTTGGTGGCGCACCGACGATTTTTTTAATTTCTATGCATGCATACATGTATGCGTGCATGAAAACGGTCAATGCGAAAGGCATGAATCCGGGAGTAGTAAAATACCGGTGTTTTTCTACTCCCTGGCCTGAATAATAAAATAATAAATAATTAATTAATTATGAACCTGTGACGTACACATGTGTGACCCTATCTTTGGAAATAAAAAAATTGTGGGAATTAAAATAAAAAATCGCTCGCTCGCACCGATTTTCACAGGCTCATGACCTGAGAATCAACTTTTTTTTACCATGGCCTAATACAGTACTGGTACGTGTACATGTAGATTAGACTCCCCTAGGACTATGTTACTCACGGCTAGAGCTTAGGCACCCGCGGATTATGCCAGCAGAAAACTTGGCAGAATTCGGTACTTTTTCTGGTAAGTTTCATGCATGTTTGGTATGTGGATAAAGAAATGGAGCAGAATTCGAGGAATTGCCCGCCATTAGCCCTTTCCCAAAGGTGCTCTTTTAAGTCGCACTTAGTGCTTTTCGCGTCCCTCAAGATATGCTGAAAAAGTGCTCTTTTTTCAGTGAAAACAGGCAAAAAGTGCTCTTTTTTCAGTGAAGCATAGCCATGATACATGTTCAGATATGAACCCAAGCTGAGAAATGAATACGTACTCTTCCATTTGTGGGTCCACGAAAGGCAAAACAGGAAGTAAAGTTCAAAACCCACTTTTTACAGCATTGTGTAGGATACAAGCTTCACCAACTTGTTGCCAGTTGTTGGCCCCCAGAAAAGCGGCGTGCCAAGGTCCTTCGAGCACTCGGAAACTGTGATCGCATGCATGAGCAAACAGATTTTATCACTTTTTCATCTAAAAAAGCTCAAAAAGGGCGATATTCACCAAAAAAAACGCAATAAAGGGCGAAAGAAACGGGCTTTTCCAAAAAGGGCCAAAAAGGGCGAAAAAAGGGCGAGCACCTTTGGGAAAGGGCTACCCGCCATAAGGTTTGTATGGTTCTGCCAATTTCACTGCTTTTCGAGCAGAATCTGCCACCTTTTCGAGCAGAATCCGCTGGTGGTAGGCACTTGCTCGGTGCGGGAATACACTGTGCTAAAGTATCAGATTTCAGTAACGTTTATGCTAGTGGTACATGTATACTGTATCATGTTGGGCAATTGGGCAACATACATATGTACATGTAAAGATCATAGCTATGTACTACATTGTACCTCATTTCCCAGTGATTGACAAGTTGTCAATCACTCACTGTGATTCTGTTACAGTCGTTTCTTGTTGTGGAATGTGAGATGTTTGTACTCCGATCCAGATGGAGACTTCATCATCAGCGTACTGCAAACTTCACCCGGACGCTTCCGGTCCTGGATATCATACCTGAACAAGCCAACCTCAAACACTCGTCCCCACAACCAATAAAACCCATCTCACCAAGGCTGATGTCAGATGACAATAGTCGTCGGTCTACCAGTGCACCCTCTTGTATGGAATATGAATATAAACCCCTATAATTGAGCCCATCGGCACAGTGCTTCTCAAGTGGTGTATTCTGCCCAAGAAATGATCTAGAATAAAGCATGTCGCCCTGCTTGCCAGCAAACGCCTTCAGGGCTGGAATGTTAGCAAGTAGCCTTGAAGGCATCATGAGAAGGCGCGGCGGAATAGCCTGGTGGAAGTGTGTACTGCCGGCTTCACAACAGCAACTATAATGATTCCATTGTGTTCGCCAAGAGTTGCAACACATGCATGTACACATGCCGCGAACCTACAGTAGCCCTTGGCGAATAATGCCGGCAGAAAAATTGGCAAGACCTTGGTACTTTTTCTGGTATGTTTCATGCATGTTTGTTTGGTGTGTGAGTTACCCGGTAAAGAAATGGAGCAGAATTCAAGGAAGTGCTTGATACTAGTATAAGGTTTGTAACTTTGTATCATGTGGTTCTGCCAATTTCACTGCTTTTCGAGCAGAATCTGCCAATTTGTCGAGCATCCGCCGAGGGCTAATCTACAGTCGCGACCAAAGAAATCCGACTCACGTGCCGAAAGCAGCGCCAAGGCTCATGCGGCCCTCAGAGCGTGCATGATGTACATGATTGTACCGGTATTTAATTGAAATGGAAACGCGGCGCTACTTTTGACTACAATAGTGGGTCGGATTTCTTTGGCCACGACTGAAGCTCTACAGTGTACACGTATTGACATAGCAAGGTAGAGGAGTACACGTATAATGACATAGCAAGGTAGAGGAGTACAACACGTATTGACATAGCAAGGTAGAGGTGTACACGTATAATGACATAGCAAGGTAGAGGAGTACAACACGTATTGACATAGCAAGGTAGAGGTGTACACGTATTGACATAGCAAGGTAGAGGAGTACACGTATAATGACATAGCAAGGTAGAGGTGTACACGTATTGACATAGCAAGGTAGAGGTGTACACGTATAATGACATAGCAAGGTAGAGCTAGCTAGCAAGGTAGAGGTGTACACGTACAATGACATAGCAAGGTAGAGGAGTACACGTATTGACATAGCAAGGTAGAGGAGTACACGTATAATGACTTATCAGTAGGGAGGTTCTGCTATACGTGAAACGTAGAGAAATCACGTAGAGAGCAGGTGTCTGGGTTAGAGTCTACGGCTTCGCGTGTTTTGGCTCCAGATTTCTACGCGGAGATGGGGTTCTCTACGTTGTGGCACACGCAGAGAAAATGCGTACGGATTTGCTGGGTATCGATCAACTGCATGCAGAAAACTGCCAAATATGGAAGGGGAAAATCCCAGTACACATTCCACGTGACTTCTCTAGGTGAAACGTAGAGCAGAACAGCATTTCTTTACGTTACGGGAACGCGAAGAAAGTTCGCGTGATTCTTTGCGTCGCGTTCCCAAAACGTAGAGCAGAACCTCCCTACTCTCTTATTATTGACCCCCACAGAAACTTGTGATCTCTAAGCGGTCAAATATCAGCATATATTGACCGCTTATATTGACCACTTATTATTGACCACTTAGCCTGAGGACTTAGAACTTTTTCCTCAACTTAGAAAAAAATCAGAACTGAAAGAAGAAAAATCTGAAGCCAAATGCTGGGATTTGAACCCAAACTGTCAGATTCTCAGTTAAAGAACTTGGGGAACATACTACAAAAGACAACTGAAAACTTCTGTTTACACAGAAGTAATGTCCAATGTAAACGGCATATGTACATACTATTATACTATTACAATAGTATTCCTTTTTTCCTTTAGCAAAGCAAAAGCAGTTTTAGGTATGCTATGTCGTGATAAATCTATTATTGCCCTCCTAATCGGTCAATATATGAAATATAGACCTCGCAAAAGACCTCGGGGGACCTCGGTCTTTTACTCGTTCTATATTTCATATATTGACCTCTTTAATCGTGCAATAATAGATACATAGCAAGCTTCAAGGTAGAGGTGTACACGTATAATGACATAGCAAGGTAGAGTCAGCCTCCACCAAGCCACTTTGATTTTGTGTTTCACTGTGGAGTGTGTGTGATACTAGTACATAATTCATTTGCTTTTTTTTACCACTTCCTGAATATTTTATTCATAATTATGGTGGTAAACACGCACCTGGCAACATGGCGGTAAATACACGCCAAGACACTGATTGTACGTCTACTGTATTGTAATTTGAACTACAAGTACTCATGTCCCAAAAGTTTGCATGACTGGAAACAGATCATTGGCAGTCGAGTCACTTGGTAAGCTGGTATCATGTTCTGCTAACAAATTCAAAAGCTAAGAACAATGTACTTCAGTAGTGTCAGTAGTACTTTCAAATGATGCATAGTGTCGACTTACCAACACAATGGAAGGTTAGATGACAGTCACCCCGGACAGCAATAATTATGATTGCTGACCACCGTCATCTATGATCTATCCAGTATCCACCTCGTCCTAGCTGGGATAGCAGACGCTACGTCTTTGCTGCACTTCTACAGACTACACGCATACAATGTAGATCTAGACATGTATCCTGACCCAGGATACACATGTACAATTATTTACATGCAGCTTCAGCCTCCCTTTAGCTCCAGGCAACGAAATAGAATGAGACCGCAAGTGCATGCCATTGGCATTGCATCTCCAGCCATTGGGCAGCAGCATTCTACATCATGATGGCACAGTAACTGGTGACACAACAGTATTGCCGTCTGGCAGAACAACAGCAACATGTGCTGTGCCCGTTTATTACATATTGGGGAAAGATAAGAGTTGATCACAAAATAGAACTGACAGAAGTGGAGTGGAATATTGAAATAAAGATAATCCGAAGATGAAGCAAAGATGATGAAAGATAAGAAACAAAAAATAGAAGGACCGATGACACAGATATTAGGCAGCTTGAAACCAACAAACATATAAATGAAGGTGTACGTAAAGGGTCCAAGCACGAGGAGCTGTAGTAGTGATGGGCACTGGCACTGTATCATCATGAGTATTACATACACATGGATAACATTGCAATATTTAGGTTGATTGATGAATAGTAGAGCTAGTGAAACAGTGACACTTTCAACAGAAAGCGGAGATCGCAAATGCTGCCGAGAGCAGAATAATATGGGAGGGTGCTGATAATTCTGAAATTGGGACGTCCAGTTCAGGGGAGCCCGGGAGGTTGTCGTGCCGGTAAATCTTGATATCTCATACAACTGTCCAATGAAAGAGGTTGTGTGCGACGAATCTACGTACTTGCACGGTATAATGCCGGACAGGGATGAAATTTGAGGAGTGGTCCTGAAGACTTCGCCAGTTGTGCCACGGAGAAATGACGGGCACTGGACATACTCTCACAGATTGGATGCGTGCCTGGAGGGAGAAGGAAGCACCACAAAGCAACACAGAAGATTTAGTATTGCATTCACTGTTATAGCGTGATAGAGGCAAGCTTCACAGTGCCACACCCACGGCCATGATAATACAAGACACTCAGACTACATTATGTATACATGTCGCTATTAGTATCTCGTCAAAGGTTTTGAACAGACTCCTATCACTGCTTACATGTGTAAATTCATCTATGGACATGTACAAGTAGCCCTGGATGGAGCAGCCCAGTACATAGCATACTGGCTACATGGTAGGTTCAGGTCATGATTAATGTGTACTCACAGTGTGAAGTGGAGGAAATCCGCACGAGTCCAAATGAGTTCAGTGACATGTACATAATTATTATGGAAAGCTGAACGGAGTATAGAAACTGTTCTGTGTTCCGACCTGTGTTGGGCAAAGGTCAACAAAAGAAGATACGCAAACACAATCACATGAAATACACGTTCATTGGCTTGAGGGAAAGGTGCAACTACTTGTTCATTGGTGTCAAAATTCAGATAGAAAACATCACTATGTACGAGTTCATACCAGTCTTGGGCTTTAACATATTATAGGAAAAGACATCACTGGGTGAAGTCCATAATAGAGTGTAGGATCAACCTGCACCGCACAGGGTGGTGAACGGATAAAAATGGCTTACATTTCAATAAGGATTGCCTCGGGAGTTGGTGCATACCAAAGGAGATAGATGACTGTCCTCTGTATCCGGGCGCAGGAGATGAATGATTGTGTACACTGCACGTACGTACCGAAATCCTGTATGAACGCAAAACGATGCATGCACAGCATGTATGCATGCACGCCGCACACCACACAGAGGTAGCCAAAGATTCATTTGAACCGATATAATTAATCCTGCATCTGCAACATCAAGATATTCAGGTAACTGCCATGTACCAACAATGGTAAACTAGGATTCTGCCTTCAAAGCAACACCAATATTCTATGGACTAAGATACAACAGGAAGTACAGTGGTACCTGCACAATGACATTGCAGTGGCCTTGCCAAATCACTTGCTGTTTGCATGGCTCAACGCTGTCAAGGTGATGGATTGGTCCTCAGTGCTTGCTGCGTAACCATTGGTTGTGTCATGTGCCGATGCAGGTATCCTGGCGATGCTGTGCCGATCCAGAGTAGTGTCATATTATCTGGGACTCACACAGAGGAAACACGCACACACCAGAACACACACACACACGGCGCCAAACAACGGTTTCAGAGGTCACATTCTTACCGAATTATCAGAGCTTAAACCCCAGATTGAAAGATATCCGTACCCCTGCCCCACCTGAGTAACAGAAAAAGTGGTTAATACCTGTGGGGAAAAGAAAGGTTAGTACCTGCGGGAATAGAAAGTTAGTACCTGTGGAAAAAAGGATTAGTACCTGTGGGAAAAAGAAAGATTAGTTCCTGTGGGGAAAGTGGTTAGTTAAGAATGATTGAATTTGAATAATAATAATAATAATAATAATAATAATAAAACAGGTCGCGTAATGAAGCAGCATAACGATAGATGTGCAAAGTCATGATGCCTGGTCCGCTTCTGTCCTGGGTTCACTACCCCGTGCGTTGCAGCCGCGAGCAAAACCAGCTCAGGCTGAGAGTTCCCTCCATGATTGCTTGTCCAAAGCGCGCATTCTGAGCCCACTCAGATCAGTCATGGCTTCTTTTTGAATTTGAATGAAGCAGCAAAAAAAGAAAATGGTTGCATAGTAAGGAACAGTATATCAGGGTGGGAGACTGAACAAGTTACAACAGGCGGAGAGACTGAACAAGTATTAGTTACAACAGGCGGAGACACAGGCAACTGCCCTCACTTGTGCCCATCTAGTGCAACTACGCGAGGACGACGGGACCTTTGGAACCCTGGTTTTCACGCCTCCACCCCAGGAGCACAAGAAAAGACAGCCGACCATGCCTCCAAACGCATACAAATGGGCCAAAGTATAATCCATGTTTTAGCAAATGTTCTAGAAGGCAAGATCATAAGAGAGGAGCAAGCGAGACCTGAATATAATAATATAATAATTATTCAGTACAAAGTCATGTTGAAGAATCAAAATTTCATAATTATGATCATAATACAAAGTAAATAATTGTTGGTAGGATCACCAATGTTACAAACGTTTACAAACATTGTCCACCACAGACATCTCTGCTCTGTTTTGGTTTATCATGTGCTTTTAGGTGTACCCCAGTACAGACACTGACGAGTGGCTGCTTGAAATAATAACATAGAACTTGTTGTGTTCCTAGACTATGTTCACTCCTATGTGGACACCAGTTTGGGACCACAGCCTTACCAGGGCACTGTGTTTCGGCAACACAGCGGCACTAGAAAAAACACTCTCAGTTTCCAAAGACCATCTGGTTGTCCAGCGACGATCGCAAGCCAGCAACAGCCGATTGCGCAGTCTACTGAAGGGGAGCAGGAAGGAGGAACGCCAGTCTTGATGCCCAACGGTGACAGCAAAAAGTAAGGGTGGGTGATTTTCACAGACTGCATAGATGTTTACGCCTTTGTCGAAGACAACAACTCACACTTCTCCACCACCTTGATATGATCACCCACTAACACACCAGACAGCCTAAGAGCCTAATATCTAAAACCCATAATTAAACCCGCTGAAAATACCTACTGACAAAGGCATAAAACAATCCATGCAGTTCTGTGGACCTGAAAATCGTGAAGGCGAAGCAAAGAGAAAGGGGCGAAACCGAACAACAAGCAGAATCGCTCACAGGTCGAATTTTAGACACGGCCCAAGCCTCCCATGAAATGGTGCTACTTTGGGGGACTCCAACCTTTTTGATAAACAAGCATGCATTCAGATCTACTGCTAGCTGCACATCAATAAGTGTGCCAAGGATACTGCCAGACATGCACAGACATACACCACGCCTTCACACATCACACAACACACGTAACTAAATGCATGGCTGTATGTTTGTACATGGCTGTATGTACTCTTAGTGGAATGTGTGGATAGACTGGTCAAATGATGATATTAGCATCCTGTATCCGCCACCTGAACCTGTCCTCATTCTACCACCAGTCCCTGTGATTCTGAAGCATCATTCATATGTGTGTCTTGTGTGAGCAGGGCTGAGTCCGGATTACGTTTAGCTTGTTTAGGTTGGCCAGGACACGATTGCCGTTTAGTACACGAAGCGTTTCAGATTACTTAGGCACGAATTTGTGGGCGGACTCAACCCTGCACACATGCATGTGTGATCATGAGAAGAGAAAGCAAGGATTGTTTGTTTTGCAATTTGACCTCTGCTACGGGGCACTACTGAATAATTTCCATTTTCCTTGTGCACCTTTCCTGATTTTCAAAAAAATGCTTAGACCGTGCCTGTTCCTTTTTTCTTTGGAAATAACTAAAAAAGAGGTTTTTTCACAATGCAGAGATGCAGGATGAAAACCAACTCTTAGAAGCTTGTAAAGCAGCAGTGGCGGATTTCAACCGGCACCACTGCATTCTGAAAATAGTTGGCTGGGAGAGGGGTCTTTGTTTCTGTTTGCCCCAGATCATACACTACTGCAAGAATTGTGAAGGGGAAAGCATGGACCCAGTTTGCAAGGGGTCTCCCCTGATACAGTGTAAAAACTGCTCAGTGACACATACGACATAATTATTATTATACTACAGTCCTACGGGGTTCACTGCAGTGCCCTTGGAGAATTCAAACACGGGAAATATTTTGCAATGTAGCTAACAAGAACCAAGCACACACATCATGAGGCCGGAACCGGCTACTCACTACCACCAGATTGTTTGTGGGAGGTACACTTGCCAGTACCCCGGTAGACCGATGGGTGGGCTAGCCACTAGTGCTGGGCGCGCCACGTTAGGGCACCACGTTAGGGCTTTACCTGCTTGCACCCAGCACCAGCAGCTAAGTCCCTGTGCGAAGCCTCCACGTCAGCGTGTAACGTCACGATGCCAGGGTGCCTGCCCGCTGCACTATTGATGCCTATGCCTAACACTATGACAATACAATCCTACTTCAAGCAATCATACACGACAAGAGAGCATGTCACAGCCAGCAAGCAAGCAAGTTTGACTCCGCACTATTCCTCTATTTTAAGCCATAATGGAGGGGAGGGTGAATCATGCTGTTTAAACTCCATACATCCATATTCCTGCCCAAAACCTGTGTATAGTCTGAAACAATCACCAGCAGCCCACCGACCACTACCATCCCATTTCTTGCCCATATCCACCTCAGAAGACCGAAACGGCACTCCCTTGTGCACCTACATGAACCAAAGTCCTGATCGTTTCTCTCATCACAAGCCATGCACAGCCTTCCAATCCTTGTTCTTACCCATCCTTACACCTAATATCCCTACAGAGCATAGCTATGTTCCACCAACCGCAAAGTAATTATGTCCCCTCGCCCAGCCACGATCCCACTCACCCCCACTAAACACAGTCACCACCTTCCCTTACACCAATCTCATTCCTGTAATTAACCGGGCACCTCAAACATCAGTCTAAGACTACTTAGTATACTGATTCTCCCTGATCACCCAACAAACTCCCTTGCTAAACGCACGCTAGTGAACCACTATGCTTCTCCTTGCGGCCTGAACGTTACCACCGCATGACATATTCCCCTAGGATGAATGGAGTTTGAACAGCCTGATCTTAGGAAATTTTGTAAGGGGTTCGAGTCTGCTGAGGAACACAGTGCTCAGTCAGCTCGACATAAAGAAAAGAAAATGAGCCAAACTCCAAGTACACTTCCTAGTGCTATGGACCTAACACTACATGACACAGTATAATTATTTCCAGTTATTTGACCTCACATTATGCAAGATGGAGCTATCCTACAACAACCTATAATACCTAATTGTACGGGGACTAAAAGTAAATACACACAGCGCGTGTGTGTGTGTATGTGTGTGTGTGTGTGTGTATGTGTGTGTGTGTGTGTGTGTGTGTGTGTGTGTGTGTGTGTGTGTGTGTGTGTGTGTGTGTGTGTGTGTGTGTGTGTGTGTGTGTGTGTGTGTGTGTGTGTGTGTGTGTGTGTGTGTGTGTGTGTGTGTGTGTGTGTGTGTGTGTGTGTGTGTGTGTGTGTGTGTGTGTGTGTGTGTGTGTGTGTGTGTGTGTGTGTGTGTGTCACTGTGTGTCCAGTGCGTGAGAGTGAGAGCGTACGCAACATCACATGCACAATTGTAGATGGTGGGGTTGAGTGGGTCGGGTTGGGGGGGGGGGGGGGCAAGGACGGAAGGGGCATCGCAAGGAGTGGGGAGCTCAACAGGATGGGCACAAGTTCTAACGTTATCACTACAAAAGGGTATACAAGTCATGCATTACACTAACCTGTAACCCCCACAAAGATAGAGTCATAGACAAAAACACAGTGATACTATGTTAGCATACCTAACACTCCTACATACACTCACACACACGCACATGCTCATTTATTTTCACACGTATCACAACCGCCCGACTAGTATCAGACCTTGCCGGGAGGTGACAGATATTTCGGAAAACGAAACAGAAAAGGGCAATGTGAATTCAAGGCGGTGCAATGCAGCAAGTCAGCGCGCAATCCTACTACTGGTTTACCTATAAGACCTAGACCTAAGCAGCGAGCAAGCACCGTTTCTGGACTCACGCCACCTCAGAGGAGCTGGACGGACGACCGGTAGTAGCGTCTAGCGAGTACCCAGGTAAGCGGTAGTAGCGTTGCATTTCATTCCCCGACTTGCGAAGCTCCTGGTTGTTCCTCGCACGGAACGTTCGTAGAAGAAGCCCAGTACAGCCCTAGACTATGCCCAGCTCTAAACGAAGAACCGAGGAAATATGAAGAGCTACAATGTAGTTACTGGGTAGACCCGTCGGAATGGTCTTCGGAAACTTGCCAGTGTATCGCTGGCCCAGGGCATAGCATTCACGTGCTTTGAAAACTGGAAGGAAAGGCGAAACACATCCCTCCTTCCACCTCGTGCAAGCCAGCAAACAGAATGAGGCTGTGTGATTCAGCTGCAACCAGTTTTCTTCATCTCCCGCCACCAATCACAACTGGTCACACTTCCACCCCGCCACGCCGTACTTTCCTTCATGGCGGCGTGTGTTCCTCACCATACGCAGCACCTAGCAACGTCTGGTGGCAAGAAAGCAGACGTGCAAACTCGGTTTGGGCTCTGCAACATCCTAGCTCGCAGCGCTGCACGTGCATAGTCTACAGGCTAGGCGGAGGCTCGTGCTTCGCGGTCCGAGCAGTTCGCTGCTACAGAGTACAGACTACAGTGTAGGATGACCCTGATGAACCCGACCGTAAGTACAGTACAGATGTCTTGCAGGAGTCAGCTCTCCACATTGAAACGGGGGTGGGGTCTAATAGCATTGGTCCGCGGTGGCTGGTCTCAGATCGACTCTCAAGCCTCAGGGCAGGGTATAATGCGATTTGGATGTGGGTTCCATGTCCAGTGCTGCAGGCTATTTCTGGTCTACAGGGTCTACCGTGATTGGGCACCGAAATAGGCAGCAGAAGGAGCCATACTAGACTGCCTGTAGCAGGCAGGTGTGGTAAGCAGTCACTCGACACAGCCCGTAGTGTAATATGCCCCCCCCCCCCCCCCGGCCGCCTACTGCAAAACGCCAAATATTCGCGTCACTAAATTTTCGCGACTTCTTAGAACCAGCAAGTTTGCGATGGCAAAAGTTCGCGAACCACCTGGGCCACCTACATGCCCCCACTGTTGAAGCTTGATTTCACACTGGTTCGGGTTACGCTCTTCTCGCGAAAATAGCGAACATTAATCCGTCGCGAATATATCCAACACTGGCATTAGGAGCATTTCCAAGCCCGCCTGAATGCATATCTTCCTTTTCCAAACGGCAGAAGCTGTGTTTTGATTGGTCAGGCCCTACCCTAGCCTGTCATGCTTTTGTGTATGATGATATGGAGGGTATACTAGTGAGCTATACACATGACCTACTCAGCAGTAAACACACACTTGTGGCCAAAAAGTTGGTCCGGCCAAGGGAAAAAATGCATGCTTGACCAGCCGGACCGGTTCCGCGGGGCCTGAGATTATTACCGGGTAAACTTCAACTCAACCAGTCAAAGCCTCAAAGCACCAGAATTGCATAACTTGATGCATGCGAGACCTGGCCAAGCTATCAATTGGCTTGGTCTCAGCAGCCATGCGGTCTGCACGGCCACTTTCTAAGTTTCTATGTCCCCGATTGGGCGGTTCCATGGGTGAAGGCTGAAACCAGGTTTCAACTGTATGGGCATAGGCCCATACAAGACTAGACCATGGAAAGCACGTACACGCACAGACACATAGGGCTGAGTGCTTTCGATTGGTGTGGGGATCGTCAAGGAATTGATGAACCGCACCATAAATAATTAGCCGTAATGACTGGCAAGAAAAAGGATACTTAAAAAAAAAACTCACTGAAAATACATAAATCTGTAAAAGCTAGGCAAGAGCAGCATGTGTACATACTGAGGTACACACAGGGCTCCACCACCAGGAGCAATGGCTGGAACGAATGGAAGATACAAACAACGAACAACAACGACGAACAACAAAAATACTAGAGGCCCTAATAACAACCAACACGGGACCAGCAAGGCACCTCCATTTCAAACAGCCACAGAGGTTGGAGTCTTCCGGCTGAAAGAGAATGAAGGTGCTCTAGAAACGAGAACAATCAACGATGGTATAAAGGTTACGTGAATGACGCCGTGGTGGGTGCTTTGGTTGGCGTGACAAACCAGTGCTTGCAATGCCACTCCAGACAAAACATCTCAAATGACGTACATGGATTCACGTAGCCTCTACGGCGGGCTCAAGGCTGGTAAACAGTATCATCGTTAGTTCATCGTACAGGAAAGACTATCTTCTTCGCTCGCGCTTCTGCACTTTCTGCTTCACCTTGTCTTTGCGATCCTGCTCCTTTTGCAGCTGCTTCTCGCGCGCCGCTTTGGTCTGCGCAACCCTGGCCGTGTGCTCGGCCTGCTGCTTTTCTCGCTCAGCTCGCTGCGCACCCGCAACTTGCTGCCGGTTGTTGATCGACAGCTTCTCTGCAGCGGAAAACAAACAAAGGCAAATGCACAGTCCAAACACCATGCTGAAGGAGAAACAAGCCGGAAAATTGGCTTGCTGATGGCTGAACTCTTGTTGTTTCTGCATGAGGGAGGAGAAACAAGCTGGAAAAATCTAGCCATCCCAAACACCGACTACAGTCAGACTTCGCTTATCCGGTCCTCTTTTATCCGGATCCTTCGCCATCCGGAAGAAAATAGCTGGTTACAGATTTACAGCATACGTGGTGCATCCAACATAACCGGTGTTCGGTTATCCGGTTCTCTCGCCTATACGGATATTTTTAGTGGAAAACGGATGCGTGCGGTTAAGCGAGGTCTGACCGTACCATCAAGCCGGAAAATTCTTGGTTTTTGTACATTCGTTATTCTACCAATGGAGTTGCCATCAGACGTCACACAAGTTCGGTTTGGGTACGTGGGGTACACTCCAAAATGAACGTCACCACTACACTCGACTGGCAAAGTAGACACCCGCAACAAGCAGGATCTTATAACACCAAACGCCACCCTAGAACAAGCGCATGCCATGTATGCAAGCAATTGTATTGTGTTTACTGTAGAAGCTGTGTGCAGTACATACATACATACCCCCCCCCCCCAATACACATGCACGCACGCACCCACGCACACCCACACGCGCGCGCACACACACACACACGCGCACACACGCGTGCACACACACGCACACACACACACACACACAGCCCAGAGCCAACTGCCGGCACTGGTTGTCACTGACCTAGTGTTGAATCGATTCGAGATGACTGTGTGGCCTGGCGATCTTCAGTACATCAGGAAGCACAGTCAAGGAGTACAGCATTGCAAAACACCACTACAATACACTTGTATGCAACACTCCTACTGTTGTGCACATTGAAATCAGTTGAGAAGTCGAGCAGCCATGGGGCGCTGGCTTTGCAGCCGCGAGCGCTGCTGGTCCAGTTGTTTTTACAGTGTGTGCGTGAGCTGCAGTGCATGTACGCGCAAAGGCAGCAAGGGTGCCGGCCCCTGTTATCCTACCGGACTTCAATGTCCACCACAGTACAAAACACCGCTAAAGTACACTCACACACAACACAGGACAACACATGACATGTACATGGACAGTGCTGCTCAATGAAATCCAGTCGCGAGAGTCAAGTTGGCGCCGTGCACCTTTTCGCAGCCCAGTGTTCGCAGGTCTAGGGCTGCGCAACGCTCCGGCGTGTACTTGAGTGACGCGACTGGATTTGATTGAGCAGCGCTGTACTTTACAAAAACTCTCCCGGCAATTCAGAGAGAGGAACATTGGTTGGTGCAATTCTGAGAGCCATGCTTTCATCATTACGAAACAACTGCAGATCCTTGTCACTCTGCTGAACCGTTTCCCCCCATATATAGCCCGCAATGGATTGCTCTGGCATGACAGTTCCAGTACTGAGAAGCGACAGACGCGCCCATTCCCCGAGCTCTACATGTACAAGATAAGAAACACCACCTGTCCAAGTCACACATCTAGAGAGGATATTAGTCCACGTTGTCATCATCATCGTCATCTTCATCCTCAAACGCAAACTGCGCTAGAACCGCCTCCTTTCTTAGCCGGTCCTCTTCTGTCTTCTCTGTTCTGCGAGAGCTAGAACTGGACGCGTTGGATGCGGACGCAGTCGACATCACCAAGCCGGGTATGAAGGACGCGCTGTTGCGGGCTTCTTGTTCTGTGCACACAGGCCACACATGCGCATGCACATGCCATGCGCACCCAAAAAGGCAGTTCTTCTGTCTTCCTGTAATACAGTCTACAGTCAACTTCGCTAATAACGACAATTCGCGAATAAAGACAGAATGTCCATGCCCAGAGCAAAGTTCCATCCAACTGTAATACATATAATGAGACTTCGGGTATAACGACACTTCGCGAATAAGGACACTTTTTTGATGCCCCACCGAGTGTCGTTATAAGCGAAGTTGACTGTATGTGCAGTTGAGTTACCAAACATACATGCATATCGGTATGCTTTGCTTGGTGAAAATCCTAGCCTGTCCGTTCTTTGGCACCTGGCAGCACCGTGTGGCCAGTTCCTAGATAGTAAACCGGTGCTCAGCTGATGGATAGATTACTCAAGAGGACTGCTACACTTGCAGTTGTATCTTATCAGCTGGAGAGCCTGTCATGAAGTTTTAGCTTTCAGAACAGGACTCAGAAACACTAACGTGCTGCATGCATTTAGAATCCTTGGTGTGACCCCGTAATTGTGCGCACACACGAATAAGAACAGTACTCACACGCGCATATGTAAGCAAGACCTTTTCCAACGCACCACAGACATCATACACACACACACACACACACACACACACACACACACACACACACACACACACACACACACACACACACACACACACACCATCCCCGAAGCAACGATAGTGCACAAGATGTTAGACATAGCAACTTGAACTTGGGACTACACCGTTCAACAGCTGTCTATGCCGAGCCAGTACTAGCATGCACTCACCAGCTTTCCTCTCCGCTTCTTTCTGTGCCTTCTCCTGCTCTGTTTTCTTCATCCACTTCTCAACAATCTCACGACATACGTCATCGACAGGCACAGTCTGTGAGTGTGAGGCAATGAGAAAACAGCAGCAGTGTTGATGTGAGCAGACCTCTTCGTAGCAAATCATGTACATATACAGTCGACCTACCCTTATAACAATATTTGCGTCAGACCAAGAAATATTGTTATAAGGGTAATATTGTTGTAATATTGTTATAAGGGTATTGGTTCATTTCATACATGTCATAATGCATGATTTTTGTTCATTTTTTACACTCTTTAGAGCATAAAAACTTGCGTACATGTACGTTCTATGCACATTATGTACATCGCAAGGCATCAATGGTGCCCCCATCGCATTTTGTCATGTCCCAGTGACTTATCAAGTGAAACTTGCCCTACTTGGATAGTGGAGCCTACGTATTCCCTGCTAGATATTGTTATAAAATGGAAAAATGCTGAGTGGTCAGCCCATTTTATATCGTTATAGGGGTAATATCATTAGCAATATTGTTATAAGGGTAAGGCATTGTATACAAAAGTCAATGGAGTGATTTGGTTGGACAAAAAAATATCGTTATAAGGGTAATATCGTTATAGAGGTTATCGTTATAAGGGTAGGTCGACTGTACTCTAGCCTTGATGCTACATGTTACTGAAACTTCACTTTACATGTAGGGTACCCCGTAAGAAGAGGCCGGTGGGAATGCCCTTATCAAAATGTAATACATAATAATACCAAGCGAACATAAACCAGAGTGTGCAACTCAGGATGGTTCCTGTGGGAGCGTAATCCGTGCAGTACGCCATTTCTGACAGCATGGTACGGTGGAAAGTTGCGTAACCAATCACAGTTTGTGTTTATTTCGGTTTTTTGGTACGGATAGCATGGTGAATTTACTTGCCAGCGGATGTACAAAGCGTACGCAGTCACACAAAAACACCGAAATCCTAAAACAGGACGTCTAAATCATGCAAACTTGGCTGATTTCCGGACTGTGAAACACGGAAATTTGAGCTGTACGCAAGTCGCAGCTTGGCTGACCTCATCAGGGTGACGTAGTGCACGAACTGCGCTGTTTCAGATTTGATATGCACAGTTGCACACTCTGGTTTATGTACTCTTGATAATACTAATGTACATTCAAGAAAAACAGTCAGGGGAAGTGAACTGCCTGAAAAGAGAGAAAAAATGCCAGAATGCCAGACCCACCAGGACTCGAACCCGGGACCTTGCTCGTCATGAGCAACGCTCACACCAAGTGCGATTCAGCCATTCAGCGGAAAAAGTGCTTTTTGACGTCATCGTTGCTACAGAAACGGCTGAATTTTCGGCTTCAGCCGTTCTCAGCAGTCAGCCGTTTTTGAAGCGCTGAATAGAGCGCTGAATAGATTCAGCCACTTTCAGCCATTCTGGCGCAGTGCCGGGAAAAATAAACTCGTGCAAATCCAAAGCGCATCTTGCCATCGATGCATCGTGTTCTGAAATATTCCGGCTTTCGCTGTTTGTTTCGTTGTTGGTCCTACTTCTCTCATTGCCTGCTGTTTGTTATTGTCTTCATCATTCCTTGTGCGCTTTCTACGAGGCACGATTTGGTTCGGCAGCGTCAGACAAGGGAGACTATTGTGCGATAGAATCATGCGCACCATGATGTCGGTGCAGAGCAAGGTGCAGACAACGGCACAGAGTCTAGTTTCAGGATCCATGGCGGCACTACAAGCTCAAACCTCCCTCAATCTTTCAAACAGCCACCCTGATTCCAATGTGGCAATGAAGCTCCTCTACCAGTACAGTACCAAAACTCTGCTGATTGCCATGTACATGGTCGACAGAAAATCAAATTCAAAAATGCGCGCAAAGAACAAACCTCCACAGCACGCAAAAACTTGAGCGGATCTCATATGGGTCGATGTGACCAACCGCTTCATTCAGCACAAGCCACTTTCAGTGCAAGCTGGAAACGGCTTGTTTGGTGTGACCGCGACCTAACAAAACTGAGCTATGGGTCCAGGCCGAACCTAGAAGGCGCTGACACATTTTTCACTCCAAAGGCAGCTCACAACACGTGCAACACATACTGATGGTACTTGGGTGTTTTTCCCTACCCCGGGGGACCAACCACGGTCCGTTTCTAGGAACGTACTACCAGAGGCGAAAGAAAGTAATTACCGGTAATTGAAATGGGAATGGGATAAACTTCAAATAAAAGTCCCGATGGGTCTGACATTTTTTCTCTTTTCAGGCAGTTCACTTCCCCTGACTGATTACTTTTGAATTTGAAGTGTATCCCATTTCCATTTCAACTAATGTGCATGCTCGTTGTTCTTACTGTGGCCTCTGTGAGCAGTTCTGCCAATGCTTCCACCATCTCATCCACTGAGCTCTCGTCTGCATCCAACATTCCCGTTATGTAACCAGAGAACACTTCGTCGTCCAGCTCCAGCTGCTTCAGGCGACTGCCCAGCCATGAGTCAAAGTCTCCGTCTGCTTGACTCATTGCTTACTCAGCTATAGAGGGCTGCACGATGTTGCTGGTCCGGAGTAAGTAGCTGGGAAAGGAATCAATTCAGCTCCTGGTGCTTTACTTCTACACCGACATACAAGCTACGCTATTACCGGTACTTGAATTCCTTTGAAGCAAGATACTATCAGTGCATGTATTTTGAAAATGAAATGGAATTGAAGATTTCTAATTTTCTATTGTTCAAATCAACACACCCAGCTTTCCGACAAGTACTGACGCATGCAGCGCCACATGCACAATACAACAGCCCTGCTATGCTTGAAATAGTTCCTAGATACTGCCAGCTTGTGCTGAATGCTCTACCAAATAAAACACCACGCACTGTGCATATCTACTGGTCTTTCAAGAAAAGATTGAAAGAGTCAGAGTGAGCTGAGAAATGAGAGAGATCCTCGACTCGTCGGAGTTTCTTGCTTTTTTGTCGAAGATTCAAATCTCGCATGACGTATTTTCACGCAAAAGCGCAACACGGAATTCGCGCACGCGATGCTTCCGACAGACCAGGTCACGGCTGTCACGATGGTCATGTACTCGGCCAAAAAATATGGCGTCCAAAAATTTGAAAATTCAAAAATCTCATCATCGATCTGTCATTGATTTGCTTGAAAATACTCTTTTTCTCTTGAGGAAACCTCCACTTTCCCCTTCCAATCGACCGGGTTTCATAGTACAAACACGCTTCATGACTTCCTCTCGCGATCCTCTTTCATCTGATACCCGTCCTGGCCGTGTTCTTCCAGGAACGATTCCTTCAGAGGTGCGTTTCCTTTGCCTTGACGACTTGCCCTTCGTCACTTCTATCAGCCCTTTTCACAGCTACCTTCTTCTCTTGTAAAAGTTTTCTCGTCTTCTTTGCCAGTTTTCCTGGTGCCTGGGTGACTTCATTTACCGATTTTTTGAATTTGTTTGTCTTTCCGTGCTACTAGATCGATTTCCGTGGCCATCGATTCTACCGTATCGCGTGCTAGTAGTAGTGTGTAAAATCAAGAGTACATGAAAACCAGAGTGTGCAGCTTGGGGCCTTTTCTGCTATGGGTGTCTGTCACGGCGAAATTCCGTGATTACATCATTTTGGTGCAGATCTGAGGCGGGAAATGGCGTAGTGCGTACAACTGAGCTGCAGTTGTGCAGAAAGAGACCTGCTTGAATCCTGCTTGTACGCACTACATCACTAAAATGATGTAATCACGGAATTTCGCCGTGACAGCAACCCATCCGAGCTGCACACTCTGGTTTTCATGTACTCTTGGTAAAATGGATGAACACGGAGCATTGCTGTCTACCTGCTGCAGTATTGTTGGCAAAAAGTTTGCCAACATGGCTGTGTCCACGAAATACAACGTGAAGGACTATGCCAGATCATTCAAGATGTGTACGAGGTCGACATTTCTCAGGATGACCCTGCGATCCACCCTACACACATTTGTCATGTATGCAAACGTGTGCTGGATCGTTGTCTGAGAGAAGGTTGCCTTGACTCATTTGTAGGGGATGGATGTGGAGCGATCAAAGTGTGGAAGCCACATCACCGCACATACTGCGACATATGCCACACTGCACCAAACAAGGGTAGACGTCCACCAAAAAAGCAGAAGCAACTTGCTTCAAAGCTTTCTGCTGTACAAAAAAAAGAAAAGAAATGGATCACACAACAGTCCCACAACATTCATCCACAACAGCAATACCCCTATCACACTGTACTGTCCTGGACCCCAGACAGCACACAGTACTAGTTAAATGGATGTAGATGAAGCAAATGTTTTCACGCACGCAACACCGACATACAGCGCACAGAAGAAACTGGACAAGACTAGGTTCGTTCATTGCGCAGCAGGTTCCACAATACACAGCAAGGGAAGTGCCAATGAATAAGAAAGACGGCAGCATAGTGATGGCATGCATGGCGTACATGCCAAATCTCATTGACATCGTGATGATCTGATGATCTGGACTTGCACGACACATATGGGTGGCTGACCTGGCACGGAAATGTCATTCCGGAGTCCGAGATTCGGCTAAAACTTGGCGGTGACCGCCTCTGGAGCAAATCTTTCGCAAGCCAAGCACCACAACAATGCCATCCGCCCAGTTATCTTGCCAATTCCCGTCAGCAACGTTGTTATTCCGTCTTTTCATCTGGATCTCGGCATTTTCGCATGGCTGTATGACATCTACCTAGCTGAAGTCAAACAACTGGATGTGAAACTGGCAGCAGCAACTCTCTAGCCGTGTGCAGATGATCAGCTCCAGTTTCAAGAGCTAACAGTTCTCAGCGACAAAGTTCGGTCCGCCAGGCAAGCTATGGAAGATGCCCAGGCGAAGAGCGATGAACTACAGCAGCAGCTCCAATATGCAGTGCTCTTGCAGCAACACGCACCGGCTAGCTTTCCCAACGTCAACATGGACACTGTAGCTGCAGCAATACAGCAACTGTGGAAAGACGCCAGCGACGCCTTCACTGCTGCAAGTGCTGAGCACAGCAAACTCGTACATGACTTAGACGAGATGAGAAAGAACAAGAAAGTCACAGGACCATGCGCGTCAAGTCTCGAGTCTGTGCTCCAAACACACAATGTTGATCGGCAAGCCTTCCATGGCGGTGCCTTCGTGGGCAACCATGTACATCGCACACTGCAGCCTGCCGTACTAAGAGCACTGATGTCTGCTCCAGTTGAGGTGGTTTCCACTCGTTGCCAGCAGCTCGTTGCTGATGCAGAAATCTTGCAGCAGCGGTACCATGGATTGTTTTCGGGATATGCCGACTGCAGCCACCGTTTCAGCCATTGCAACAGCATGTCAGAGGCCGACATCTCAAAGCTGGCTGACTGCATCCAGCTGTTTCTTCAGAAATGCAGAGAATCCATTATCACCCGGCAGCTCGGCAACATAACTCCGAAACTACATCTCTTGGAGGAGCGCACAGTCCCGTTCACCAGGAAATTTGGAGTCGGTCAGGGTCGACTCGCCGAGCAGGGCAGCGAGTCAATTCATGCCAGATTCAACAGGCTGAGCTTCGATTATAACGCTATTCCTGGGACTCTGCAGCGCCTCACAGCAATGTGCCAGCAACATCTCGTCGGGACATTGCCACAACATGACGCTGTTCGTCCCGCCACGGCATCAAGAAAACGCAAGGCGTCCGAGCTCGAGCAGTGATCCTCAGGCCCTGGACGCAGCAGCTTGGCCATTTCAGCCCTGATCCAGGTAAGAAAAATAACAACGGTACTGCTGACTCCTAGTTGAGCTCTGTAGTGACAACAGGAAGAGACGTCGTCCAGCAAAAACCTGCTGTCTACCTTCTCCTTCCTTTTCTTTCCTTGTTTGTTGTTGTCGAAGCTGAACAATTTTTGTTGTGCGACTTCGAAAGTTTGAATCCTTGTCCCGATCGCGGTGTTTGTTACCTTGACAAAGCACAGTTTTCGCGTGAATCCCACAGGATCTTGAAATCTTTTTCAGTTTTCAGAATATTTTTGAATTTCACCGTAAACCTGGGCGAAGGCCGCCATATTGTTAAGTGGTGGCCGCGAAACAGCCGTGAGGTGATAGCGCGCTAGCGCTAGTGTAGGCTGTAGCTAGCAAGCTAGCTCGGCGCGAGTAGACCTATGCGATACGAGTATCGATCACACGATCGCTTCTGAATCTGAAGTCGCACCATGCCAGGTGGCAGGTACGTAGGCCATATGGACGCGCTAGGCGGCGTTTTTTGGGGCGCCGCACCACAAAATACACAAAGCCACAACACCACAAACATTTTGAAATAACCACAGCACATCTCACATTCACAAGTCAAAGACTTGCAGTGTTGCACAAACTCAATTTAGTACTTGATCTTTGTAATAATGTTGAATGTACAGTCTGAGTAGGCTTGGCTAAGAAGTAGCCTTTAGCCTTTTAGGTACTCGATCGATCGATCGAAGTACACTGTAACTAAGTAGAGAAATATAGGTTACTCATTCTTCCGGACCTGTGTGTTTGGGCTGAGAGCATCCACATTGAGCTAGCTATTCACCAGTAAAATGAAATCAGTAACACTTGCGTATTTGATCGCATACAACCTCCTGCAATGGCTCGGGTAAGCTCGTATTTTTAAAATAATGGTGTGCATTCCCGTGTGATGTGTTAATTTTTTGAACAACAGCAAACTGGCAATGGCATGCATGGATGTTCTTGTTACACCCGTTGTGTGACCATGGGAGCAACTGCACTGCTGCAGTATGCCCTGAAATTGAAGAATTCTTACACAATGGAGTGTTGGTGTACTGCGCAACACGCCTAATCAGTAGGATTAATTCCGTCAAGCATATCCAGACCTTGGGGGGGGGGGGGGGGACATCAACACCTGAACATCCTATGACTGGCTGATGCATTGCAATTATTCTTGTTGAGATTGGAGAGATGCGGAGGCACTTGATACATTTGAAGTGAGCGCTTCTTTCGAATGATTGAGAGCTCAGGTCACGGGTGCACATACACCTGCTGCCCCCCCCCCCCCCCCTCCCGGAGTCTCCCCTGGAGAGATCTGGCATATCCATGGTATAGAATATCTTCGTCTACGCCTCCTGAAGGGCAGTGACTGAGCAGCAGTCACTCCGTGACCGCCAACTGTCTGTACTTGCCATCTTTTTAGATTTTTGTGTTGGGTTTCAGATCCTGTTATGGCAACACAGGATTGACTTTTTTCTTCTTTTCTTCAGATTCTTGGCGTTTTGATCAATTTTTTGTATTGAAGGGGAAGTTAAGGCAAAAATTAAAATTTCACCAGTTGTAGTCTTCGGGGTGCTGAGTCGAATGGTCGTGGTCCGAGGAAGCTGAGACGCTCCCTTCCTACTTGAATCCCAATCGAACTCGCGCACTTCCACCGAAACTGGGTGACTGCGCCCTACGAGATGGGGATTTGTATGCAAAATGTCACTAAAAGCGCCATTTCGTTCTTATAAAAGCACGGATGACCGCGTTTGGCCCATATGTTGTAGTCTTTTGGACGCTGAGTCGACTGGTTTCGGTCCGAAAAGGCTGCGATGAAGCGTTCCGCCTTTATTCCCAATCGAACATGGTTGAACAAGCGGTCACGTGCTCCTGCGTACGCCAGTCACCTGGTCACCGTGCCTGCAGGGTACAACTTACTAGCCTGTTTGACCTTTTTTGGGTGCAGTCCTGTCACTCGAGTTGAACTCGAGTTGACCCTTGGTGTGAAAGTTGTCACCTGCTGGCGTGGTGACCAGGTGATTTGGGCACCCAGGAGCACGTGACCACTTGTTCAACCATGTTCGATTGGGAATAAAGGAGGAACGCTGCATCGCAGCCTTTTCGGACCAAAACCAGTCGACTCAGCGTCCAAAAGACTACAACATATGGGCCAATCGCGGTCATCCGTGCTTTTATAAGAACGAAATGGCGCTTTTAGTGACATTTTGCATACAAATCCCCATCTCGTAGGGCGCAGTCACCCAGTTTCGGTGGAAGTGCGCGAGTTCGATTGGGATTCAAGTAGGAAGGGAGCGTCTCAGCTTCCTCGGACCAAGACCATTCGACTCAGCACCCCGAAGACTACAACTGGTGAAATTTTAATTTTTGCCTTAACTTCCCCTTTGAGATACTGTGGCATATGTAAGCACATATGCTTTGCCCGTGCAAGAGGCTTTTCGTAGTCACTCCATGCACTCACTCGCCAGCAGTGAATGCTGCAGATGCCTCTCGCATCACTACGTGCAGTGTTGCTGTGCTAGAGTTTCCAATCGTACAGCCTCTTTTACGGGCAAAATAAACACAATGAATATTTTTTTCCCAGGTGTTCCACAAAACTTCAACTCAAAGTTCTAAACAATACCCCAAACACAAACGCTAGAGCTCGAAGTGTGAGCTGTCACCTCAATTATTCAGTGCAAACTTGTTGTAGTGTGCTGCGATCGTCTACGCCTACAAGGCTACAGTACTACATGTACGTGTTGTGTATCTACATAGTATATCCGCTAGGGGTGAAACAATTATACCGAATATTCGAATACTCATTTGAATTTTTCAAATATAATTGTACTCGGAATAGATCAGAGTACTCGCTCATACATGGTACATGCATTTACCGCAGAAGTCTGCAGTTTCAGTGCAGCAGTCAGCAGATATTGATGTGCAGAGTGTGTGGTGAACATTTGCACCCGAGTAGAGAGAGCCCAAATGACCCACCGACCAATGCACTAGAGAAAAGGACTGCCAATTGGTTCAATCAGGGTTGTATCATGTGATTTTTAAGGCATTTGTGTGCGATTTTTTAGGATATCAAGAATACTCGAATATTCGATCGGAGAAATTCAGAGTACTCGAACTCGGGATCTCAGTGCCAACTTTCACCCCTAATATCCGCAGTACCTTACACGTATCAGTGTGATCTTGCACATAGTCTCTGTATGTTAGCACATGCTTAGTTGTAGCAGGTCACCTGAAAGCGCACGATTGCGCCACTTCATTTTCACAGGACTTCTCTGTATAGAAAGTGCTGTTCACTAGTTCTAGCCATTGAGTACTCTCACACAACCTTCACTGATGAGATCTGTATGGTCGAAACAGCTAGCTGCATAGAGGGATTGGTGCCAGTATCTGCTACAACTTAGAATCTTGCTGCTGGTGTGGCTCCTAAGGTCGTCCAGAGAGTGTGTATGGTGGGGAGCTAGGAGTTAAAATGATGAACAGCACGAAAGGCGCTGCTTGCCCTTGTGACGATCAATATTATTTGGCCAAAAGTCATATATTTTTATTTATTTTTTGATTTTATCACGTTCAAACAGTGTGGGTTTACAATCTTTACGGGGGCTGCGGAAGCCTAATATCATGCTTACATTGCGTGTGTATCATTGCCCGTGTCCGCCCCCACAGATGGCTGTCAATTGGTGTAATGATGGCCGTTCACCTGGTGCAGAACGACGGCAACCACCGCGAGCTGTTCAATGCCGTTGAGCTGCCGCTCGTTCTACTGCAAGCATCAGGGATTCTGGAGGTAGGGTAATCCACTGCAGCGTGCTGCAGAGCGTCTGTGTGTCGTGTTCCTTCAACGTTTGTTTGCGCAATGCACCGCGTGTGCTCGTTCTTCCTTATCACTGGCACAACAACCGCAATGAAATAGTCTTAATGCCATGATGAAGATGGGTGATATTCTAGAGTAGGTGGCTGCAATTGTGCTGCTGGAGCCCAGAAGCATGCGGGCCCGCCGGCAGCGCTATGGCCACAATGCTGCTGTTGCTGCTGCTGCTGCTTTAGCTGGTCATGCCGATTGTGGTGGCGCCTGTACTGCTGTTACTGCCAATGCCATCTATGGTGTATTACGTCAATAAAATTGAAATTCTTTTTTTGTATTCCGTGCATTTGTGGATGTTCCCCTCCAGACCATCCACAGCATATTGGGCATCAGCAAGTCCAGCCCAGCGGCAGCGTTTATGCAGTACTTGGGCCGCGGCTTTGCCCTGTTCCTGGTCACGCGCTCCATTCCCGGGGTAAGCACTTCTGCGTGGTGTGTGCCTGTACTGTAGAGTGTAGCGGTAGTTCATACCCCGGAGTGTACTTGTCTGTGGGCCTATTGTGCTGTGCCCTGCCTGCTCTGCACCATGCAGCTTTGTCCAGTTCGTGCAGTGCGGAAATCAAGGACCACGCTTTGTCAGTGGTTTGGAACTAAGTTTCGGACGCGGCTAATATCTGTGCACACGAAATTTAGGGAGGCTATACATTTTCTGTAGAGGCGGTACACGTGCGTGTGGGTTGTACACGAGTACATGTACTGAAGTACTTACATCAGAGTGTACAGCTGAGACACGTGGCCAGGAAAGCATTTATTCAATTTTATTGTGTTGCTTTTGTTGCTGCTGTTGCTGGTGGTGTGGTGGTGTTTTTGTTTCAAATCTTTATTCTCACGATAGCCAGTGGCCAATAAGAGATAATAGTGTGAGAGAGGAGAAAGAGTGAGGAAGAATTGGGTGGGCAGGACCTAGGGATTAATGACTACTTAAGTGTACGGGCAGGGGTGGTCGCTACACGAGCATACAGAGTTGTGCAACAGCAGGGATATCTAGGATTTGAAGAGAGTACGAGAAGGGATTTCACGAAGCTGGGTGGGCAAGTGTTGTTGTTGTTGTTGTTGTTGTTGTTGCTGTTGTTGTTGTTGTTGTTCATTTTGGCACCAAGGTAACGATAAAACCTAATGTTACAGATCTTATGGAATATGGATGCAGTGCAAGCGTAGACTCACAGATTGCGGCTTCCATGACTCATCGAAATGACGTAAACGACGAATTCCGTTGTCTGGAGCCCGTAAGCAGAGGTGCATATTCTGGTTTATGTACTTTTGTCCATACTGTTGCTGTGTTCTTGTGCACACAGGTTCGATATGAACTAGGTGTAGTCAGCTATCTGATCACCTGGGTTATGATCGACTCGGTGCGATATCCGTACTACTTCATGTCTCTGCTGGGAAAACCGCCGTACATCCTGACATGGCTGAGGTAGGCTTTGCAAAAATGTTTAATTTTAATTTTTATTACTTGTAAGAATAATCCAGACATTACCATGGCTTAGGAGCTGTGGAGTGTGGCATGATTTAATTAAGATCGATAGCAAGAAAACTGCAATGCAAGTACCTGTGGTGAAGTCAAGTGGAGGTGACAGCAACACCTGGCCTTCGTGACTGTGTTGCGAGATTCCGATTTCGCCCTCGGGCCTCCTATTGGAGAGCCATGGCACGCGAGGTGTCGGCTCTTTGCCACGTGTATTCCTTGCATTGTTTGTAGAGCGGGTAGAGAATCGTGAACTTGTGATCGCCGGCTATTGCACAGCTGTATGTTGCCACACAGTAACACAGTATCATGACCTTGTTGGTTCGTCTGTGTGCTCCTCTCTCCACAGATATACGAGTTTCATCCCGCTGTATCCACTGGGTTATCTAGTAAGAGAGTACGATGTACTTGTACACTGTGCAGACTACTGATACAGTCAGACCTCGCTTAAACAAAAAAATACTAGTACAGTCAGACCTCGCTTAACCGCACACATCTGGTTTCCACAAAAATATCCGGATAGGTGAGGTAACCGGATAACTGAACATACATACTGTATATGCATGTATATGCATGTGGCATGTCAAAAGCAATGACATCGTACATACATGTAGACAGGTCCTATGCAGTACAACTAGCGTGCCCAGTATGTAAAACAAGTGAGGAAAATGACAAGTGCATGCAACTGAGTGCTGTCCGCATACACCCAGCAGGTCAAGGACCTCATTTGCTTGTACAACTCCCTGATACTAGCTTCTGCAAGCGCTAGCCAGCCACATGCAACCGGATACGACGAAGCTTTTTGCACACATTTTAACCAGTTTGTACACAAAATCATGCACCGGTATGCGGATCGCGAGGTCCGGTTATGTTGTATGCATGACATATGCTGCACATCGGTAACCAGCGATTTTCTTCCGGATGGCGAGGGATCCGGATAAACGAGGACCGGATAAACGAGGTCTGACTGTACCCAGATAGACGAGGGAACCGGATAATCGAACACACATTCTATATGTATGCATGACATAGCTGTAAATCGGTAACTAAGGGTTTTCTTTCGGATGGCGAGGGATCCGGATGAAAGAGGACCGGATAAGCGAGGTCTGACTGTACATGTATAGTATAGTACAACTTGGCAAGACAACAGAGACCCACAGAACTCAGAGTCACGATAACGATAGTGGCCTCTGTTGTTCTGCCTTGTGTGTAGTATGCTCTGCCCTTGTTAGGGTATTGAGCACTATAATTTTGCAGCAAGGACCTGCGACACTTTGTCAACAAGTGATAGTGTTAAAACAGCAGTGAGCACACTGTCACTGTGCTTACGAGTTCAGTGTGCAGCCATCATGCTATGTTCTCATGCATGCAAAACATGAGGTTGATGGTCTCTCTCTCTCACGAGCCCTGGTGGCTTATTGTTGCTTGTGCGGTGAATGCTTGTTATAGTTCTTCCAATGGCCAGCTTGTGGAATGTATCTCTCTCTCTCTCTCTCTCTCTCTCTCTCTCTCTCTCTCTCTCTCTCTCTCTCTCTCTCTCTCTCTCTCTTCTCTCTCTCCCTCCCCCCCCCCCCCTCCCCCTCCTTCTCCAGGCTGAGTTAACGACGGTGTACGCAGCCATGTTGAAGGTCTGGGAGACCAACCAGTACAGCTTCACAGTGGCCGGCACTGAGATCAACTTCTACTACCTACTGCTATCCTACATGGCCTTCAGCTGCTTTGGTGAGTTTGAAATACATGTACTGTATCCTACATGGCCTTCAGCTGCTTTGGTGAGCTTGAAATACATGTACTGTATCCTACATGGCCTTCAGCTGCTTTGGTGAGTTTGAAATACATGTACTGTATCCTACATGGCCTTCAGCTGCTTTGGTGAGTTTGAAATACATGTACTGTATCCTACATGGCCTTCAGCTGCTCTGGTGAGCTTGAAATACATGTACTGTATCCTACATGGCCTTCAGCTGCTTTGGTGAGCTTGAAATACATGTACTCAGTACTGTGCATTGACAGCATGTTGCAAGGCGAGGACGCACAGTGCTCCTGACTACAACCATAACCTGGTTGGCAGAGTCCCGGTCTTGCAACCATTTGAACCGTACGGTACTCGCCTAGTAACATGCTGTCGAAGTCGAAAACATGTTAAACTATCAAGCAAGGCTTCTATATAATACCATGTACTGTACATGTAGTCACCTCCGTACGCTGCAAAAATGCACGTGCGGACAGTCATGGCCGCGGGTGTGTGTATGTGTGTGTGTGTGCATATGTGTGCATGCACACGTGTGTGTGTGTGTGTGTATGTGTGTGTGTGTGCTTGCATGTCTACATGTGCATGTCACATTGTGTATATGCGCGCCTTCACTTTTGTACTCTTGCTTGTATGCAAACAAACACATAATCATGCTGTGCTGTATGGTCGTGTTCAGGTTTCTTCCAGAACTACAGCTACATGTTCTCTCAACGGAAGAAGGCTCTAAAGAAGGCGAAGACCAACTAGAACAAAACCATAGGATCAAATTCAAACTACATACCCACTGTGTCTGCCCTTCAGCACCAATCAACGTCTTCTTCTCATTATCCTCCCGTCACCTGTTTCTTCCTCCACAGTGTTGCAGTATGACATACGACCCCGTGACAGAGAAAGTGATGCACATGCACACCTCTACCCCGGACCATGGACAAAGCAGACCAGTACCCATTACACCGAGATGGAGATCACATACCTATTTAGCTTAGCTGTACATGTAATAAGTGACTTCAATGTCTTTTCTTGAAGCCTAGATTTTTATCAATATCATGAAGCGGACACCCCAGACAGGTACCGGTAGCTCATCTCTATTCCATTCACGTGAGAGTTTGTTTGTGCATGACTGCGTATGTGCATGTGCTAGGCCCAGACAGATTCTGCTCCGCTCGCCTCGATATTTTGCCGCGAAATGTTGATGCGAAATCTTCGATCCGCGAAATGTTGATGCGAAATCTTCGATATTTTGCCGAGCCTGGCACTAGAAACTCGATATTTTGCTCCATTAGAGAGTTTACGCTTCACGCTTTTTCAATTTCGAACGTGAGAAAAAAACGTGCGTTGAATTTGACCGTGTTGGAGTTGTGTGGAGAGTTTGCGCTGCGCGTGCTGAAATCACGTTGTTGTTGTTGTTGTTGTTTTCTTTATTTGATTTCGCTAAAACCAAATGTGAGTTTTCGGAAGAGGTCATGGGGTCGCGACCCGAGGTTGATCCGTTTAGAAACCAAGGAGGTCATGGGGTCGCGACCTGAGGATTATTCGTTTAGAAAACAAAAGGAAAAAATCGATTTGTACTAGAGTTATCTAGATTCCCGAGATTCTGAGCAAAAAACGTTGGAATTACTTGAATAAACTCACGCTTTTTTCCACCGTGAGTTGGACCGCTGTCGCGTTGAAATCTCACGTTTCAACGTGAGATGCGCCATTTTTGGCCGTGAAATCTCACGTTCGAAATTGAAAAAACGTGAAGCGTTAACTCTCAATTATGCTCCAGAAAAACATGTATTTTATCCACTTCCCGTACAATGCTTCATAAAAATCGCAGGGTCAGTTTCTCAACACGGGTTTCCACGCACGTATCCCTGAGTTCTTCCAAAATCAAGTCGATCCACAGTGAATCCCAGCGATATTTCGGTGACATGATCTCGTCCTGGGCAGTGTATGATGCTGAACGGGTAAGGAACAAGGAAATCCAAGTATCAGGCATCGATTTTACCAAACATCTCGATATTTTGCTCCCATTTTGCGGGCAATTTCCGCTCTTTCAATTCTTCGATATTTGCCGAAAGAATTGCCGGCAGAATCTATCTGGGCCTAGCATGTGCATGGCGGTGTAGGGTGTGTATTGGAGGCACGCACACATGCACACCATTGACCATTGGATGCGATGATAGCGATGCTACAGCAGAAGCCATAGTAACTTGTGCTGGGATTGCAGACACACACACACACACACTGCCCTGTGTTAGCCGGCACCGCCAGTCAATGTGTCACCAGAACAAACATATGTAAAGGAGTTCTGAAAAGAAGAACGGTGTGAACACAGATGCCCTGCATGCCTGGTCCCAGGTTGTTAATGTCTTGTACGTTCTTTCCAGGATAGTTATGACTAAAAATATGAAAACACTGCAAATATTCTTCTTAGCAAATCTAACATAGACATGTAGCAGGCAATGATGCATGGCTAATTTGCAAATCAACAAAACTCATTATGCAACCCACAAATACGTAAGAAAATAGTTGAATGGTGTGGTGCGTGCATGCGTACTTTGAGAGAGAGAGAGAGAGACGAGGTGAGTTGTAGAATGAGAGAGTAAGGTGATACAGGGCAGTAGTAGATCTGAGGGTAATGGGAAAATATAGTGGGTCGCTCTTAGTCAATGTGTATTTACGGTGCATGATTGACAGCTTCTCGGTAGCTGTCACGACTACCAGTCTTTCCCAGGGCTGAGCATGAGGCAGAGCCCGGTGGTGGGGTGATGGCCTCTACGTTACTGGCGGACTGTGAGCGCTCCGCAGTACTGGCCAGGCTGCTTGACTGGGGCGTGGTGCGTTGGAAGCGGCTGCGGTTCATCGAGCGCACCGACGCGGCGCTGTGACTGCGCAGAGAAAGTGGCACAAGATCAGAACTGAGTAATGCTTGCTGAGGAAAAGGAAGGACAAAAATGTTACGAGTTATGACTAACTGTCCACCAATGTAACCAGCAGTCGGCTAGTGTGACAACATGGCACTAAATTGACAAGTGAGTAATGCTCGCTGGCGAAAAGTGAGTAATGCTCGCTGACGAAAAGTGAGCTGATCCCGCGTGCCCAAGAACAAACGGACTACAGTTAGGTAATGGATGCAAAGAACATGCTGGGCTAGACTAGAATGTGCCATGGTCTTCGGCACGTGAGGTCACTGCACCTGTTTTAGCATCTATTGTTTAGCAGAGCGCATGAACAAGCTAAGGTCTGTCTTGCGTACAAGTGTGTATGTGTGGGTGTGGGAGGGGGTGATTTTCTGTACGGCATTGCACTGTCTAAACTTGATCCAACTAGCTGAAACAACACCCATTTCTAGTGCATTCCAAGAAACAAGACGCCATGCACCACATCCCAGCACCACACCCCAGTCGATCAACACCCACGGCCTCCCCTAGGGCTGACTGGTTCTACTTGTCAAAGTCGACCAGCAGTTGTCTGTAACGGACACGAGTACATGTAGGCTCAGCAAACTCATTTAACTTTCACCAGCTCCCGCGGTGCTCACAGCGGAACCTGGCCAACGGGTTTTGTGCCTGGCACTGAACTACCATGGAAGCTAGCATTGAGCGACCACTCACTGGAGGAACGCGACAATGTGTCACGGGGGCATCGGGACTTCGTAGAGTTAGAACTTTGGCAGCGGGCCAGTATTTCACGTGCACTAAGAACTAACAGTTGACTGTGGCAATGAATAGATAGTTCTACCTTTTATTCACACTCTATATTATTTTTCTGTTGTGAAGAACTGAATGTGTCGAAAAACAAAGCATGTTAACAGCACAGTTGGTTCTGTTGATTGCTACTGCTAAGCTAACGTTTCTAATATTGTTGCTTGAGTTTTACATTTCGTAAGGGAAAAAAGCTGAAAATAGAATATCGAAAGCTGTACTAAAATAATCGTTTAAATATTGTATTAGTTGTCTAGAGCTACACACGAGGTCAGGACGGGAAATCGGTTGGCTAGTGAAGTGAGCTGAAGCCTGTTGTATGTAATTGCTAAAAAAAGGTCAATGGTGTCAAGACTGTCTAAATTTGGCTAAGCATGTCGTTCAAGGCGTTGTATATGGTGTACGCGCAGCCAGCTGCCTCAGCTGGGCGTAACTCTGCGACTGGGAGTCCTGCGGGCGAGAATCAAAACACCATTGCCATCAGTTTGTGCCAGGACTGGAGTCATAGAGAGCGAACTAGAGGGTGCAGGGCACTACTAAGAGAGACACACGTCATAATATTTCCTGTTTGAGTGCTCACAAAGAAACCAAGCCATCTTCACTGTTTTCCTCCTAAATTATTATGCTATTTAAGAGCTTTGTACAGTTTCAGCAGCTCTGCATGCTGCACACACACACACACACACGCACACACACACACGTGATCCTTGCATTTCACATCCAAGCATGTGCTTGAGACCGTGTCTTCCCAATACGATTTGAAAGTCACGGCTGACTGCTTGAACCCCGGCAGGAGGGCAGCATAAAGGGCCAACATCATACAGTGCAATGATCACCCGCAAGCAGTGTCGCCAAGGAAAAGGATCGATGAGGCCAGGCAACGCAGCCAGTAGCAGTGTGTAGAGAGTAGAGAGACACACACACACAGCACGTCAGGTCTTACCTGGAGCTTATTGAAGACACGCTGTGTGAGGGCGATAGCAGCTCTCCGGCATACTTGGCGGTCGGAGCAAAGTCATGGTCCAGAGTCATGGCTTCAACGTACGACTGATAGCGCACCTACACACGTATACACACACACAGACGGGCACTGTTGCGGCAATAGTACTCCATGCAAAGCGTGCACAGCCGTTCGCAAACGTTGGGACAAAATGGAACAGCGACCCGCTCCACTTTTTCCTAAGGGTGCTCACAATAGTAGGAGAAGTCCATACCTGAATTTCTATAGACTGTATGTAGCAAGCGTCTTTTCGGCTGTTATGTATGTACCAACGCCCACTGCTGTAGACAGCAAGCTGCTTTGGCCATCTAGGCCTCATCATCATTATGTACCAGTAGGTATTTTATTCCGCGCTCGAGAGTATCCTGCCGCAGATAGATACGCGTGGGCACGTGTGCACCTGTACCTGCATTCTGTTGTAACATCTACTTCATCTTATCCCGATCTCACCAGCCGGGTGAAAACAGTTCTGAGGCAATCGTCAAACTCGCGTATGCTCATGCCATCTTCGGGTACTTTACTACTACACGAGTACTGTAATTTCACACATTTTCGGTGTACTTATATTTTCGATACTTTCGGTCCATCTGTTTTATACCTAAAATTTCAATAACCGAACAGACACTGAAACACATAATCCAATAGGGGACTGCTTCTCTGTACCGAAAATTTCTGTTCACATAACCTGGCCTTTTGCTCTCATACCGAAAGTTTTGAGCACCGAAAAATTCTGAAATTAGAGTACCTGCTTTGTACCGAGATCCTAGTAGTCCATATATTTTGGGCATACTTTGGCAGGATAGAGATGCCCACACACCCACAAGTAGAGTACACTGTACCCTGACTAGAATTCGTATACTTTTACCGCATGCATGCACACAGCTGCAAGGCCTAAACTGAACAAAGGAAAGGAAGAAAGGCGATACATGCAGTTATGAACAAGGTTCGTTGGAAGGAAATCACGGAATTCAGAGACAATCCCGTAGCAAAAAGGTTCGTGACGAAATTAGTTTAAATTACCCTGTGAGAATACGGAGGGCAACTCCATACTGCAGTAGTTGTCAAAGAAAAGTCATCTACAAGTAATTACAGTACAGTAAAAACCTGTCAAGGCGACCACCTGTCCTAAAAGACCACTGCAACAAGGACCAAGGGATGCTAGTTCCAGTCAGTTGACCCTGGATAAGGAGACCACCTGGTAACAGAGACCGCGTTGTGAAAGTCCCTTGAGTGGTCGTCTTAGGCAGGTTTCACTGTACATCCAGGTATCTACCGGGACCTATACACTCTCCTTCCACGTACCAGTTCACTGCTCATGTATTCACACCTGGCCTCCCACACCTTGAACAAGCGCTGCTTCTTCTTGTTGGCTGGTGAAGGTCTATCTTCCTGTGTAGGGTATATCAACGCACATGCACATGAACGTAGAATGTCAATCGGTGGCTAAACAGCTAGACAAGCTGATTGCGGTTGTTAATTAAGTGTGTGTGTGTGGGGGGGGGGGGGGGGGCACTGACCAGAAAAAGCCATTTCAGTCAGCTCTGCGTTGGAGATGAGGCTAACATTAGTGGCAGTCAATTCATCAGCCTTGCAAGCTGTTGAATGGTGTAATGCCAGCAAAAGTTTCTATGTCTTACATACCGTGTTCGCTATCATCGCTTCAGAAAGAGAGAGAGAGAGAGAGAGAGAGAATAGATGGCCGACGAATTAAGCAACAGCTGCAGCACTGTGCAGAAGGACTCCTGTAGAACGTACTACTGACCTGTTCAATGGCAATGTCCTTGATTAGCTCATCGACTTTCTCCCGATAGAACGACAACTGCTCCTCGGGAGCAGCCTTGCTCGGATGCTTGGGCAATGGCGGGCGCTCAAATCTGTCTACACATGAGCCAATGGGAGCTGCCAGCGGCTTAGTTGAGTGTAGGGCCGCGGCACGGTTGATGGCAATTACCCAGGAGGTGAGGTCGTCGTAGTTGGACGCTTGGAAGAGATGATAGGTACCATTACTGTCCAGCAACTGCAGGCAGTACTGACGCTTGTGATACTTGACAGCCGGCGTGGCCAAAGCATGCGTCAAGAGCACTGCCGACTGCATGTCCGCAAAGTTGGGAACTGACCGTGCGCTCTTGCCGTCCATCTACAAAAAAAGCACACACACAGACACAGACACATTTATTATTATAATTAATCTTCTGCCAAAAGATCAGCATCTCAGGAGGCAAAATTCGACAAACATTAATGGAAATGCCACTCCCCCCCCCCCCCCCCCCAACAAACGCAAATTTAAAAAGTCACAACGATCTGGAACGTTTACAAGTGGCCTGTACCAATAGCATGTGCGAACGAAAAGGATCAGGGTGATGTTGTGGCACTGGTTACCTTGAAGAGATGCAAGATGAAACCACGCACAACACAGTATCGTAAGGACCAGCTTCGGTGGCCAAAACCACCGCCGACATTCTTTCTCTTCAGCAGCCCTTCTCTGATCACCGTTGGGAAATCGTCCAAGTTCACCTGCAGAGCGGCAGACAATCAAATAAGTACCACCATTAACCAAAATTCAATCTGATTTCCATGGAGGTGCAGCATCTAGGGAGAACACACAGGCGATCGGAACGTGGAACAATGTGGATTTCAGTTCCGGGTTGCCCGTTGTAGTAGCCCTCGGGGCAGGGTCGATTCATGCATGTAAGTTTGGTTTGATCCGGGCTGTGTTTGGGGTCAGCGGGTCGCGAGTTGCATAGACCACGGAGAGAGAGAGAGAGAGAGAGAGAGAGAGAGAGAGAGAGAGAGACAAAGAGAGAGAGAGAGAGAGAGAGAGAGAGAGAGAGAGAGAGAGAGAGAAAGAGAGAGAGACAAAGAGAGAGAGACAAAGAGAGAGAGAGAGAGAGAGAGAGAGAGAGAGAGAGAGAGAGAGAGAGAGAGAGAGAGAGAGAGAGAGAGAGAGAGAGAGAGAGAGAGAGAGAGACAGAGAGACAAAGTCGAGTAAGAGACTGAGAACCAGCAACACTCCAGTAAAACCATAGATAAATATTCGCAGCAGCATACCTCGACAACACTGTTTGGCAGAACAATTGTGCCTACAGCTTCGGATGAGGTGTGAAGATGGCTGGCAATTGACTGCTCATCATCGTCGTGAACAAATGCAAGGGGACGAGACTTGATCTGTGCATAAACCTGACCAAACATGTAAAAAAAACATCGTAGTGAGGTGACTGACACAAGCTTTCACGAACAGAATACATGTATAAAAGTGACGAAGAGGAAAAACTGATGAAAGATGCCTCAACCCTTCACACAGGCAAGTCAAAAGGATTCCAGGTGTGCAATGGCAGTGTCAGCAAAACTTCATTGGTGGGCGCCCGTGTTCTGCTTGTGTGCTACTGTAGATCACGAACCTGTCCGACTACGGGATGCTGCTCTGCTTCGGATACAGCATGACAACGGCCTCTCTCAAAGCAACACAACAGTATTGCCACCAAGATGATGGTGCCACAGACTGAACATGCAGAATAACCATAGCGGTAGCAGCAAAACAACAACTCTGCTCACCTCCTTGACGGCAGATTTAGGAATCGGCGGCTTCCCATCCCGCAAAAGCCCTACGTTGCTAAGAAACTGTGACGATGTCATTTTCTTTCCTAGATTCTGGCCGTGCAGATCTTGGTTGAGCAACATTACTGCCGCTGTGAGCGAATGAACTGCATCTGAGCATGGAAAAAGCATGGAAATACAAATGCAATGGCAAGGGTGACAGAAAGAAAACGAAGTGAGCTGAGAGTCAATCGCATAGCAACACAGCACTATCACAAGCAACACAGAAACACTGGGTGCTTGTGCCAACTTGCACACACCCTTAGAAGAAAAGAAAGACTCCGACAAACCACTTGCTTGTACACAAGGCGGCGAGTCTTCTCAGCTATATAGCAACGACAGCTTGCTACTTATAACTGAATGTAGGTACAGGTCTACTCACCATATAACGTAATCTCTGGGACCACGCGAAAATTATGTTATATCGAGAGTTATGTTATGTAGAAAACCTTGTGTAAAGTACAAGATGTACCTCAAAATGAAGGCTATTACAAGGCAGGTTTAACCGTGCAAACATATACACACTGTACCACCATCGACAGCAGATACCATCAATGCCGCAGAATATATGCACAATAGGACTAAACTGGCTGGCTTTGGCTACACCTTGACTGTACCGCGCATGTGAATCTACGTTGTATCGAGAGTGCGCACGTTGGGGACCGCGCCATAGGGTGCGTTATGCCGAGGTTTACGTTATGTAGGACTAAACTGGCCTAAACTGCCTAGCTACAGCTACCGCTTGATCGTACCGTTCACGTGAATTTATGTTGTGCCGAGAGTGCGCGCGTTGGGGACCGCGCTGTAGCGTGTGTTATGTCGAGGTTTATGTTATGTAGGATTATGTTGTGTAGAACAAAATTTGTATGGGAGTGATGCTGTTTCGGCGCGGGATTTGATTTTTTTTACTTACTAGCGAGGTTTATGTACAAGTGAGAGTTGTTATATCGTGAACAGACCTGTACATGTATACACACGCCACCCATTATTATGGTCTAGCATGAGATTGAAATTGTACAAAAGAAGTGCTACACACACATTAAGACCTGCATCACCAACAGAAGAGTTGCACACTCTTGGTTCTGTACTCTTAACCCTTTATTACCGGATTACTTGCACAGCATGCACCAGGATTACGAATTTCAGCACAATTTCCAACTTCACCAGGTCATAACTTTGGTCTCCTTCACTTGATTTTCACAATCTAGGGCCCGTTGGAAAGCTCTTGTCAAGAGCAACGCCAGGGTACCAAGCTCCATTATCCAGTCGCCACAAATCAGGCGCGGTAACACAGCAAAGTCGTCTCCAAGCCTGATATGCAAGCAATTTCGTCCCATCAACGCCATTCCACTCTCCTTCATTGTAGAACGCTCAAATTTGTTTGAGACGATTCAAACTTCAGCTGACTACGTCAATATCACGTGCTTAGTCGCTCAAAGAGCACAAGTAAAGGGATTTTCCCCAAAAATGGCGAAGTGATCGATCAAAAATTTGAATTTGCTGAGGTGAAAATACGGCGCGCGATATCTCTGGTGTCCGATATCGTAACTCTTCGGCGATTGTTGCATTGGATAGCTTGGAGTTTCCGCTACCAAATAGACCTTTCGATTGTTGAATTCGCACAAGAAATGATGGAGTTACGAAGATATTACTGGCCTGCAGACTTTCGATCATATATGATCGAACGTCTGCAGGCCGGTAACGAGAGAGCTTGGAAGCTCAGGGCCCTGCGCTATGCTTTGTTGCCTAGCTCATCGTGCATGTTGTTAGAACTGGTGGAAATGCTTTTTCCTTTGATTAGCTTCATCATTGTATTGCCAAAACGTTTCAATGAGATACTGAAGTAACGTCTTCTGCATAGCTTCGGGACTGACGCTGACTCTGCCGATCACGGGCGTTCTGCAGTCGATGACGTTTCCTGGGACCGGCGCTGACTCTGCCGATCACGGGCATTTATCTTCTTATTATTATTATACTGGCGGCAACCAACATCCATTCTGATTGCATTTACTCGTCTCCCTACTTCGTATTTCTTTAAGGAAAATCTCCCCATACAGCAGGGAGTCGTTTACATAATATGACTCCCTGCTCTACATCTACATGACTGTATAATTATACGTTATAGTTATTATGCTATCCGCCTACATGCGATTCCCGGGCAGGTCGACAGGCGGCCCAGCCAGCCTGCTAATGGGATCTCGGCCTCGCACACAAATCCACAAAAAATGTTACTGCACTGAATGCATTCCCCCGATACACTTCGCATATATACTAATGTCTTATTCTCTTGATGGTACCGTACTCTTGATGGTACGGGACAGGTAGGGGATAGCGCCAGGCATGTCGATGGCACAAACACACAAAAATATTGTGGCCAGCTGTCTTTGCTGGTACGGTACAGTACGGGACAGATACGGGATAGCGCCAGGCGTGACACAAACAAACAAACAAACACCAAATTAAAGCTGTGTGGACCCTGGCTAGCGCCAGACGTTACTGAAGTAACGTCTTCTGCATAGCTACGGGAATAAAGGGTTAATGGGTAGGTATATACACGACACGCATTATTATGGTCTAGCATGAGATTGATATCATTCAAACGAAATGCTACACACACACACACACATTATTCTGACCTGCATCGCCGACGGAAGAGTTGCACTCGGCGTAGCGCCGGGCAAAGAACTCGACGATACGTGCCTGCGCCTGCGTCTCGCCAGCTATGCTGCAGCGTTCCAGGAGCACGCGCAGTGCGTCCACCACCGACACACCTTCAAAGTCGAACAGCGCCATGTAGGCATTGCCCAGCTCCTCCGTGCGGGCGGACGGACGGCTGCCGAGGACCTCCGCGACTTTACTCCGCGTGATGCCCTTAAGGCCGAACAGCTGCAGCGCCTCGCCGCGCACTGAAAGCTGTGCAGACAACACAGCCACACAGGACATGGCAACATCAGACCCTAGACAGCCGCTGGGAGTGGCCAACTTCTTCAAATATCTCCTGTGCTTAGTATTTCAAGCAAGACGTGCATCTGGCTTATCGGCGTGCTCGAGTAACTGTTACACCGGCACTGTCACAACAAGAGTGGGTGTAACAGCAGGGAAGACGCGGGATAGCACCAACACTCGCATTGCAGCGCAAAAGTTACCAGAACTGACAAAACATTACGTAGCGTATGGCATTAGTGGGTTACCATGGTTACAACGTCAACAGCAACTTGGAGCCACAGGCAGTTTTCAACAGAACGTAAAATGAAATTTGACTTAAACAGGCGACGTGGAGATAAGAATCGCTAAATAGCAATGTAGCGTGATGTTTATCTCCCCCAATGCCTTGCCCATATAACTGCTGTCTTAGTCATTTCACTTTATTCCCGTAGCTATGCAGAAGACGTTACTTCAGTAACGTCTGGCGCTAGCCAGGGTCCACACAGCTTTAATTTGGTGTCTGTTTGTGTGTTTGTTTGTTTGTGTCATGCACGGCGCTATCCGTATCTGACGGCAAAAAAGCATAGGATGTTATAAATTTTTCAATTCTCCTATTTTTTTTAAGGCATATCCTGGGATTCGAACCCGCACTATCGCCCTACATGCATTCCCCCATACACTTCGCATTCATACCCATTCTTCTAAGTTGCTTCACGTTATTATCTTGCGTTTGAAAGCCCTATTTGAATATTGCGGGCAGCTGTATGTGGCCAGCTGTGTTTGATGGTACGGTACGGGAGACGGTGTCGTATTACCCTCGATCGTACCTGTTCCGTACCTATCCCCTACCGTACCGTGCCATCAAAGACGGCTGGCCACAATGCATATTCAAATAGGGCTTTCAAATGCAAGATCACAATGTGAAACAACTTGGAAGAATTAGTATGTATGCGAAGTGTATCGGGGGATGCATGCAGGGCGCGCGATAGTGCGGGTTCGAATCCCAGGTTATGTCTTATAAAAAAGGATTTTTTTAAAGAATTTATAACATACCTATGCTTTGTTTTTGTCCAGGTCATCAAGGCAAAAAAAGCATAGCGTAGGGCCCTGAGCTCCCAAGCTCTCTCGTTTAGCGTAACTGTACGAGCCCATGGTTAGAAGGGAACAAAAACATTCGGTTCAGAAAGATGTTTTGCTGTGTTCTTTTAGACTGGTGTGGACGAAGTAGATGCATAAACTACGTAAGACAATTGGACACGCTTCCAATATGTTTCACAAAATACCGTAAAATTCCGTTAATAAGCCCCGGACGTATACTTTGCAGAGCGTCAAAAAACGGGCGTATATTTGGGCATGGGCGTTATTTCGGACGCAATCTGCAGAAGATCAGTCTATCAGCAACCCACTGGTTTTAGTGAACCACCATTCACACTGAGCGCGGTACAGGTACATCAAACCACATTTTTTGGCAGTTTGCTACATTCCAATGGAACATCGCTGTTCTCGAGCGCCATGACAGTGTTGAGTTCTGCACTGTACTGCGCGCAGTTGGATGGCACGCACTCGATCTACAACTGTTCTACAGTTTGTACGCGAACGCACGCTCGCGCGCTGGCCATTTTGAGTCCACTTTACGCCCTGGGCTTATTTCGGGCATGGGCGCTAAAACGGACTTGAAGTGTACACCGCCTAAAACTGGGCTTTTTATCGGACATGGGCGTTATTTAGGGTGGGCTTATTTACGGAATTTTACGGTAGCAAAGAATGAAATAATGCGCACGCTCATGGCACAAACATAGCTGCGACGGTTGAGTTCCAGAACGTTTCCCTATTTCATTCAGTCGCCAGATTCCATTGATGATAGTGACAAGAAAAGTTCTGGAACTCAACCTTCGCTCCCATGTTGAAGACCTCAGTGTGAACATTACTTTAATTATTCAAAGTTGAACTCGGATGGTGAGCCAATATAATTATGATGAAGAAAGGAACTCGTAACATTTCGCCCTTTTCCTTTCTTCATCATAATTACTTTCTTCATTGAAGTTTTGATTTATTTTCGCTTTCAGCCGAGGAACAGCTGGCCAACATAAAGAGATTCCCGGTCATTTCTGAGGAGCGCCATCAAAAGAGGCAAAGGTTGCAATTATTTCGAACAGTGCCCACTGCTATAGCTGGTCTATGTCTTTACAACACTAGCAGTGCTGCTTGGTGAGCTGATTCAAACCATCACCACAAACCAACCTATGCAGTCACAATGCAAGTCTGCCAGGCGGATACAGATTACTCGTATGCCAGCCTGAAGGAGATCTGTGCTTTGAGCTGACACACCAGCACCAACTGCCATATCTGGCTGAGTTCAAGCACAAGTCAGTGATCGGTTTAGAGAGACCACAACGTGGTGTTTACGTCCACGCTGGTCACCCAGCGCCAGATTGAGGGCTGCAAGTGCACGCCATCGACAACGTCTAGTCCTGCGCCATCTGTTCAATGTTGCCTCATTGCATAAAATTGTCCGGAAGAAAAACTATAATTCAGTTTTCGTCGCTGGCGATGCCACGATCCAGAATGCTGGCGTCCTGGTTACTGTAGAGGCCAATATGCTCAGTTGCACACGAGCGGCATTATCCTCATGCCCGAGTACTAGTACTTGGTGCAGTTCTGTTTGTTTGCAAACCATGAACCCATTAGGAATTCAGCAAATACTCACCGTGGTTGTGCCACTGGACATTGATGTAGCAGACACACTCGATACAACTCCCGAGCCATTGCTTTTTGTTCGATTTACACTGCCATTTTCCACAGGACTAGAGTGACTCTCTTCGGGGGCTGACATGGCCACACGACTTGCCGCCTGGCCATCACAGGTATCAGAGCTAGCAGAAGCGGGTGCCTCTGATTTGTTGTTATTGACTGAACGCGGGTCGCCAACAACAGATTCTCCGCAGCTGGATGGTTCGCCCATAGTCTGAGGCGGCGAATTTCTGGTCTGTGGAGGCTTGCTGTTTTCTCCCTCCATTTTCCAGATCCTTGCTGTAACTGACTATCAGCTTCCCACCTATCGAGGCCGTTCTTGCTCAAGACACAATTATATTTCTCTCTCGAAAAGTAACTGGCTGTGGCCCCACACGGATCCTTGCAGAACTCAAACTCCTCAAACTCAAAACAAATGAGTCAAAAGCCCAGAACCGATTTCATAAAGTTGCCGTTGTTGCCTGGTGAAAATCGCGTGACGTGGCCACTAGTGCACCGTGGTGCACTGCACTGCCACAGACAGTCTGTACACTGGTCCACCACCGTACCACGTACCACACTCAGCCCGCTACGCGTATACGCGATGCTGAATATGGATGTATGACGTAACGCCGCTAGCCTCCGATCCGCGGATCCGTTTGTGCAGGGAGTCGTAAAAATTACCGGTATTTACGACTCCCTAGATCCCTAGGCCCTGGCCTGGGTTTGTGTACATATCAGCAAGAGTCCATGGGTTATGGACTCTTGATATCAGTCATCATACAAACTCGGAGGGAGTAACTCAGTTGTGGTTGCAACGTTGCTCGTGAGAGTGCTCACAGGGTGCAGAGCCTAGTACACACACTTGAGTCGAGAGGGACGAAAAGCGTTTCTTCTGTAACTCTGAGTTTCACGGTTTTAACCGATCATCAGACAGCAACTAACTTGACTACAATTTTCAGAAGATAAGATTGATATAGGCTGCAAGCTTGGATCATAGCGCGAATGGATGATCCGTGCTGATAGTGTAATTGTAAAAATGCGTGAGTTGGTTGATGGGGTGCAAAAATAGGCGCAAAAAAAGAATACACTTTAGGCCTAGGCTCATGCAACCACATGTTCTTCTGAGGGAGGCAAGAAGAAGGACAATGGGGGTAATTATGAGCAGCACCTCACCTGCGACTGCGAGTGGTGAGAAGGTTATGTGACGGCTGATGGTGAGAATTTTGAGAGGTAGTACTTATTTTTCATGCCTGCACTTGCTAACTAGCTCAGATCTTTTGTTGATGTTGACACGCTTGTCCGCCTGAAGGATCTCCAGCTTCTCTCTTAGGCACAGAGGACAGCGCTTGGTTTGTAGTGTAACCTGGACTGACCAACCAAGACTGTACTCGCTGTTTTGACGCTTCATGTTCCAGACACACTTTGATAGTTCTGTGCTCTTCTCATGTCTCTCATGTCTGAATGATGTTAGATGGTTGCCGTATCTCTTCTTGAATTCTGGCTCCGTAACTCGTAAGGCCGATATACTCCTTCTGTCTGTCCTCTCCGGTTATTTGGACGGTTGCCTTGTACACAATAGAGCTGATTTTTACGACTCCCTGAAGTGTACTGACTACTACTCCGAGGTCTAGTACATGTACGTGACTACATGTACTGTATCATGTTTTTCTATTTTGACAGCATGTTACAAGGCGAGGACGCGTAGTGTATACATGTAGTGCTCCTGACTACAACCATAACCCGGTACGCGGTTGGCAGAGTCCCGGTCTTGCGACCATTTGAACCGTATTGGGAAAACCCAGGTTCGGACCAATCATGTATAATGACTATTGAGTATTGACTATTCATGGTATTGTATGCGCTAGCTAGAGCGATGCTAGCACTACACAGTGAAGTAAATAGTTGCTATGGTTACATTCACTGCCAGGTAAACCAAGGCAGGGTCGATAAACAGGGTGGATCATGGAGTCCGGTGGACCCTTCTTCAAGTAAGTTCTTGATCTTGCAGCTCAAAGCCAAACTCACTTTCTCTCTATGTCGCCTTTGTTATTTTGATTCGAAAACACGGTCGTGTAGCGGCTCTTCGCCTTCACTAGCTACAAAGTACAATGCTAGCAACTGAAATCTGATCCCTGACCGCGTACCGGTGCGCTCACAATCACATCGCAAAGACCCAGCACGGATACGAGACCGCTTGTGTGCTGCCCTCGACTCGAGCACGAAAATCAGGGATCAGATTTGCCACCGGGATGTCATGTACAATGATGTGTACATGTACTCGTACAATGACATTATGTACTTGTACTTGCAGTGTAGAACAATTTTTTTGTCATTGTACCAGCAGCAGCAGTTACCTGTTGTTGGCTATCCCGGATGATCCGAACAGCTCCGTTTGGAGGTCCTCTAAACGCTTGTCGGCTTGACCTTCGTACATCATGGTACTACATTATGTACATTGTACTGAATACTACTCCCTAGCCCTGGTACATGGTATGTACCACGCATACACAGCATTCTTGACACAGCCTGCTCACAGAGTCACACTCTCCTCTCGAGATCTCCCGCATGCGCACATACTAGTACACGCCACTGCTTTTGCAAATCATGCATTCCGGGAGTGACTGTCGCCAGTGTCGGCTTCCCATGTTTGGACTCTATTCCTCCGCATACATGTACATGTACATGATCGACATAGTCATTGTCGCTGGCACTGCAGTGCCGGACCTTCTTCTTCACCACGGCACCCCACGCATAACAACGCTTCCCGCTTTTACATGTATCAAACCAATGGTTATAGCGATGCCCTAGGCCAGGGTGTAGCCACCCACTGGCACTGCTCCATCCGCATGCCTGCCCCTCTATCCTCTACACCATTCCCCACTCCACCTTAGGGTCCAGCGGATTCTGCCGGCAGAAAAATTGGCAGAATTCGGTACTTTTTCTGGTAAGTTTCATGCATCTTTGGTATGTGGATAAAAAATGGAGCAGAATTCGAGGAATTGCCCGCCATAAGGTTTGCATGGTTCTGCCAATTTTACTGCTTTTCGAGCAGAATCCGCCGGTCCCTACTCCACCTACAACAAGTACAATGTAGAACATAGACAAGCATCACTTTTTTCTTTCTTTCTTTTTTTACTATGTGCACATACCCAACTCGTAAAAATAATAATGAAAGACAATGGTACTACTGAGACAAAACAAGGACAAACGTGGCAACTACTGAGCCTGCATCCAACCTTTGAAAGCCTCTGTCCTTCCCTTCTTCATTATCTCACAATTCAACTGTTAGTCACATCTTCCTGTAGAGTCACTAAGTTTATTTTTCAATCATCCAAACCCGTTGCGCTTGACAGTTGTTATCCTGTGTGTGAATACACTTCAGTCATTGTCACAGTGAGACTACGACGTGTGTCACTCCGACTGTCCCAGGAACATATTTTTCATGACTCTGCGATAACCAGAACTGAAGGGCCATTCCAGGCAGATGAGTCTTTTGAGGTGATGGCCTGCTTCACATTGCAACTCCACAGTTTACGGGCGAATGAAGCTCCTGAAATGCAAACACATCAAAGTAAAGAATAGCACGGCTTGCGTGAGATTTGGTTACACCGAGTTCCCCCCCCCCTCTCTCTCTCTCTCTCTCTCTCTCTCTCTCTCTCTCTCTCTCTCTCTCTCTCTCTCTCTCTCTCTCTCTCTCTCTCTCTCTCTCTCTCTCTCTCTCTCTCTCTCTCTCTCTCTCTCTCTCTCTCTCTCTCTCTCTCTCTCTCTCTCTCTCTCTCTCTCTCTCTCTCTCTCTCTCTCTCTCTCTCTCTCTCTCTCTCTCTCTCTCTCTCTCTCTCTCTCTCTCTCTCTCTCTCTCTCTCTCTCTCTCTCTCTCTCTCTCTCTCTCTCTCTCTCTCTCTCTCTCTCTCTCTCTCTCTCTCTCTCTCTCTCTCTCTCTCTCTCTCTCTCTCTCTCTCTCTCTCTCTCTCTCTCTCTCTCTCTCTCTCTCTCTCTCTCTCTCTCTCTCTCTCTCTCTCTCTCTCTCTCTCTCTCTCTCTCTCTCTCTCTCTCTCTCTCTCTCTCTCTCTCTCTCTCTCTCTCTCTCTCTCTCTCTCTCTCTCTCTCTCTCTCTCTCTCTCTCTCTTCACGTTCTCTCTCTCTCTTTGTCTCTCTCTCTCTTTCTCTCTCTGTCTCTGTCTCTCTCTCTGTCTCTGTCTCTGTCTCTCTCTCTGTCTCTCTCTCTGTCTCTCTCTCTGTCTTTGTCTCTGTCTCTGTCTCTGTCTCTGTCTCTCTCTATCTATCTCTCTCTCTCTCTCTCTCTCTCTCTCTTCACGTTCTCTCTCTCTCAGGCTCTCGCACACAATCTCTATTCTCTTCCCCATGGCGCGTGATGGGCGCCTTGATCCAGAGACCACTGGTCGGGAGAGCGCACTTCACCTCACCTGCACAGCAGCAGAGTAGCACCTACACGCCCTTTGTTGTCCACTTAAAAGTCTTTTTTTACTCTGTAACTCATAATACACAATACATGTACAGTAGTACATGTAGTAGTAGTAGAATTTATTTTTGATAGGGAAGGCCCTACAGACGTTGCCGTCTTGTTACAGGGAACCCTAAGTGCTCTTTACAGAGCGGAACAAAAACGGATACTTCAAATAGATGCTCAACCTGACGACACGAGACAGGCAGAGAATTCCACCTATCAGCGCCAAGGAAAGAAATACAGAACATGCCATATCACAGTTATATGCAGTCATGTGCAATTGGTGAAGTAAAAGAAAAGTCACAGTGGTATGCCCAGTGGGAGCTGGATCATGGTGGGAGACCACACTGCAACTCTTCTACAAGTACATGTACAAGTACTTCGAAGTACACACACTGCCGCGCCCTTCCGCACACAAAGGCATTCGCACCAACTGTGGCTAGCAACAACCAATGTCCGTAGGTGGTACGAGTACTGGTCGGAAAGCACATTCTACAATAACAGCAGATTTGGATGTACCGGTACGCGTAGCTATGTATCACGGAGATATGGCCCATTATGGGTACACCTCTGAAGACTGAAGGGGCCCTGCGCGACAGCGGAGTTGCTTTCATTGTTCTTTCAATCAAATGAACCCCTCGATAGACATACTGCCGTTGGGTCATTTCATAACAATAATAATAATAATAATTGTCCGGCCTGGTCATCTGGTCATGATGAGGGGGAAAAGACAAGGTTATAATCAGCACTTTTGGGTGCATGTGCAGAGAAGTAGTTTCTACCTCAGCCTACTCAAGCTCAACTGATGCCTGAGGGGTAAATTCCCCGAAACACTGACACTGTGTATTGAGTAGGGAGTGGTGCTTTCTTGCAGGTTTGCCGAGTGGAAGGTGCGACGTGCTCCTCGTGTGCTCCGGATGGCAGTCGTGAGTCAGTCAAGTGTCAAGCAATTCGGCGAGAAGCGT